ACAGACCTATATGCCACAGGGTAACTTGCTTAAACGGTAATGGATGATTACAGATGAATTAATAGATTTTTAAGTAGTTTTTTTGTTTTCACATAAAAAATAAAACGTTTATAGTTAAAAGTAATGCGATTATATTTGTAATTAATGTCGTTAGCGTTTAATTTAGATTAATTAGGATTGAAGTAATGTTTTAAAATCGAGCTCACAAGCGACGTCTTTGTTACAGTTGCTTGAAGCGATGTTTTTGACTCGGTCACCAATCAAATGGAATTGGTATTTAATTTATTCAAATAGATTGGTATTTAATTAGTTGGGAAGTGGGGAAAGCTTTTACTGCAATTTTGACAGCCTAACTAACAACGGGCCGGCCGTAAAGAAACAAAAAATCACATATTCAATTTCAATAGGTAAACTTAGGTGCCCTTACTATATATAATTATAAATGAGGGGATTTTCTCATTTACAAAATAAAAAAGGAGAATTTTTTTAGTTTTTTTTTTCCTTAAAAAGAGAAAAAAAATTATTGGTCTCGAAAAATCTAATCAACCTAACTTAACTTGTATCGTTTACGTTCGATTATGAACTTATTTAGATTAGGTTTGATTCAAATAAATGAAAATTTCATGAGTTAAATTAGCTCACGTGTTCATTTTAAACTATTGAATTGAATTGAACTGAACTGAACGAACTCGAATTTGTTGTTAATTCTAAAAAATAAATTTATTTTTGCCATACAATTATTTGTTTTGAAAGAATTTTCAAATATTTTGGAAATAATTTTTTGAAATATATATTCAATTTGAGTGGTAAATTTCAATTAAAATTTTAAAAATAATCAAATAAATGAAAATTTCATCGATTGAATGTGAGGAAATTTCTTATATAGCAAGATATATCTATAACTAGAGTCTAAATATTAATAAGAATATTGACATTTAATTTTAATCAACTTTATTAAAATGTAGGGATTCCTTTTTGTTTACAACAAACAACTCAATTATTATCAAATATCGTTAAGTTGGAGCAAACAAAGCGTTCAGTCCCTCACTGGATTAAGAATGTGAAGGCCAAATAGAGAAAGAAATGATTCAAAACCCCTATCGAAGTACCAAACTAAAGGCTTTCGGGACTTGCACCCTTGACTAAGCCGATGTAGGGAGTCTTAGTGTCCCTAAATTAGTCGATATGTGACTTTCATTGTGGTTTTACTTGGAGAGAGTATTCTATAATCGTTCCCTAAATTAGCCGAAGTGTGACTTTCATCATCCATCCAACACCTCCCCTTAATCGAGGCTAGACTCCCTTATAATGTCTCTAAATTAGCCAATGTGGGACTTTCATCATGGCTTTACTTGGACTTCCCCAAAATGCCTCATACCAATGGAGAGGGTATTATTTGTTTATAAACCCATGATCGTTCCTTAAATTAGCCGACTTTCATCATCCAACATTATTCACTAAACTATGTTCGATTTAGCCGTTAAACCTTTTCATTAATTGCACAATCATTTTCACCAACACGGTCCGAAACGAATTAAAAAGGAAACAAAATATTCAAATGTCCTTAAAAGAATTTGAGAAGCGTATTCTTTCAGACATTTCCCAAGAAAACCAACTTGTAGTTACAGAGAGGGAAATGGAAAGAAAGTTTTAAAGCAAAAGCAAAAGGCGAAAAGCTCAGCTCATCTAAAAACATTCAACCATTTGTATAAAGAAGAAGTGTGCTTGCTTGCTTGCTTTTGTAAGAGCTGCAGAAAAGGAAGGCCATTGATGAGGAGACGAAGCTCGTAAGAAACGAAAGAGAGAATGACGAGTAAGCACGGAGACGAAGGAAATGGCGAGCGGATTGTATCGGAAGGAAGTCGTGGTCGAGATGAAGATGGTGAGATGGGGAAGCGACTGACCGTATCGACATTGCAAGCTAGAGAAGAAGAGATTGAGAGGAGGAAGATGGAAGTGAAGGAGAAGGTTGAGTTGCAGTTAAGCCGTGCTGAGGAAGAAGCCAAACGCTTAGCACAAATTTGGGAAGTAAGTTATTTAACCATGCTCTTTATGTAACACACGTAGAAAGGCTCAACCCTTTGGTAGCACAATTCTAATGTAAATTATTATAGATTTAATTTTTAGGGTAAATTACTAAAAATATACCTCATATTTTTATCTCGAAAAATACTAAAAAGTTTAAAGTAATACTTTAAATTAAAAATAGATAAATAAAATACTTTAAAAAATAAAAAGTTCAATATTATGTTTTTTTTTTTTTATTACTAATGGTATCATATTTAAAAAATACTTAATACTCTTAATACTTTAATATNAAATAATTTAAGAGTATTTTTTAAACTTTTTTAAAAGTCGATATTTTTTTAACAAAATGTTAATAATTTCTATCTAAAACTAATCTTAACTTTATTTGAAACTTTTTTAAAGATAAAAAATATTATCGAAGCTTTTGAAAATTTAAAGAGAGTTAATAATAATTTTGCCAATAATTTTTTAATATTAGAAAAAATCATTGAAAAAAATCGATGCTTTTTTTTTTTTTTTTTTAATGCAAATGACCTACATTTTTTTCACTTTGTTTTGGGATAATTCGTTTTTTTTTTTCAAACACAATTCGTAAGAACTAAAATAATCTTTATTTGAACTTTTATTTGCATCAAATTTGATCCAAAATTCAAAAATTCACAAGCACGCAGTGTTATAATTAAAAAAATTAGTTGTCATATTTATAATTGGATTCAAGTTTTGTGCTATCAAATAAAATCTCCAATGTAATTAAACTAGGAAATATACATTTTTTTTTTTTTTAAATTTCATTTACTATAATGTTGTTGTGTATGATAAAGGAGCTGGAGGTAATGGGAGATCCAATGGGGAAAGAGGTTGGTAATGTGAGAAAAAGAATAGACACAGCTAAGAAGGAACTGAAATCACTAGGACAGATCTGCCAAAAGAAGGTGCTCCAATGCCAATAATTTCTTTTTAACATTTAATCTTCCTTTGTATAATCCTTTTTTATTTTTATTTTTTTTTAATTTTTGGCTCTAATTTTATAACGTAAGTTTCAGTTCTAAATGGTAACAGGAAAAAGAATATAAAGAAGTCCTGGAAATATTCAATGAAAAAACCAACGAGAAAGCTCAGCTACTCACTACACTAATGGAGGTAATAATAATTCTTTACCCAACTCTAAATTTTCCGTACCTTTTCTTGGCATGTAAATTTTTTTTTTTTTTAATTCAAAGCATTCTTATTAAATAATAAACTTAAAGTGAATTATTTTAACTCATTTATTCAAAATTTTTATTTTTAATAAAAATAAAACATTCATATATAAAATACCTATTTATTTACTTTTCAAAATAAATTGAAATATATATTTTTTAAATAAAAATAAAACATTCATACATAAGATACCTATTTATTTACTTTTTCAAACTAAATTGCAATATATATTTTAAAAGCTATTGAATAATAAATTATCCAAGAAATATTAATGAAATTAAATAAAATTATAATAAATATATTTGTATCATATGTAAAAAAGTTTTTTTTTCCAAGTTAACAATAAAATTAGGGTTAGTTTGTTTCAATCTAAACTGATTTTAGTGAAACCAACGAACTCAAGTCATAAAAATTTACATTTATTTGAACTAAATCAAACCCAATAAATTATAACTCAATCCAAAACGTACCGATTAGGTTGGGTTGATCACGTTCTTCCCTTTACATCGCACCAAGGGGCTAATATTCTAATAAATTGTCCAATTGCCATTCGCAAATGACCATAATGTTATCAGCTGCTGGATCAAAGTGAGAGATGGAGAATGAACAAGCTTGAAGAATTGAATAAGCACATTGCATTGACGAACTGATCAAGGAGTACACAAACCGAGAAAATATGAATGGCTATCTATATTGTTGTCCATGAGTAGCACCTTTATTTTTTTCTGTTTTTGTTAAAATTGTACTTTTAAAGAAATGTTTTAGACAGTGTTAAAGATAAACATGCAGGCCATCTTCCATTAACATTTAATTAGTATCAATAATATTGTTAATCCTTCTATCATATCATAACATTTAATTTGGCACCTCTATTTCTCAAACTCTGATCACTTAATGAACAAAACCGAGATAATAGTATATGGTTTTGGTCCTATAGGCTATAACAAATAAACATGCAAGAAATTGAAGGTAAAAAGAACATATGAAGAAAAAAGATTATGCATTTGACAAGCCATTGATGCCTATAATAATGGGTTGGATAAATGATATGCATGATACACACCATATATGGACTGCAAAAGCTGTGCTCTCAAATCACAAGAATGCTTATAAACCAACGGACGACTTACAAAATTCGAGAAGAAACGATTAATCAGGTAGAAGCTGGTTGTACTCTGCCAGCAGCTTAGGTATATCATCCATACGCAACTGTGAATTCAAAAAAGGAATAAAAACGTATATGAATTCGAATACTTGGATAGAATCAGAAGAAACGAATTCGGATACTAGAATTTTAAACTGTGTGAAGCTTATATGCTTAGAAACCAATATTTGGATCAATTCGCAAAATCAAACGTCTTAACTTCCAAGTCAACCAAACTTTATTGCTGCATAATTTGGTAATTACAGTCATGTTCAAGATCATCATGGCCTCTGTTTTTCAGTCATTTGATTTCTGAACATTGCCTATTAATTCAACTTCGTAGTTCATATTGTTTACGAACTGAGAAGCAAGAGAATCTAGAGGTAGATCTCAATGCAAAACCCCGAGGGAAATTCCATAATATTAGAGAATTTGTAAAATCCCACACATCGGTTGGGGAGGAGAACGAAACATTGTTTATAAGGGTGTGAAAACCTCTCCCTAGTAGACATGTTTTAAAAACCTTGAAGGAATGTCCGAAAAGGAAAGTCCAAAGAAGACCTGGTAGCGGTAGGTTTGGGCTGTTGCAGAACTTACAGAACCATTCCCTACACCTATCATGAAAATCAAACAGTGGTGTATAGGGCGTGGGGTGGGGAGGAGTCTGTTGTGGTCCAAAAGTGGCTTTGAGCCGTATGTAAAGTTACCCTAAGGAAAAAGATATACCAGAAAGGAGAACACCACAAGCAAGAAGCAATAACATAAAATCAACAGCGAATAAAAGCATTCACCTATTAACCACTTCGTACCAATACTGTTCATACCTGACGAAAGCTGTTAATATGGTAAAATTGATGAGCATCTTTTCCAGGAAGACTGGTAGTAATGAACTCTGACTGAGGCCCATCATTTGTACTGTAATTTTCAACATAAATTAAACAACAATGACCAAACAGGAGATACTAACATGAAAATAAGAACTAGGAGAGGAGTTCGTGCTTTCCATGCCAAGAATATAAAAAAAAACAATAATTAAAGCTCCAATCGATAACCCATTCGGTTTTTAGTTTTTGAAAATTGTGCTTGTTTTTTCATCATTTCTTTATGATCAGTTTCATCTTTGTTTTTTTTTTTTTTTTTTTCAAAGAGAAACAAAATTTTTCAATAAAAAAAATAAAGGGGTAAAAACCCCAAAACCCCATTTCGTATTCTACACATCAACAGTCATATCAGAAGATGGATGTCACTAGAAATCAAATTAATCAATGCCAATGCACATATAATGAGATTTCAGAACACTAAACAGAAACTCGTATTTGAAGATGGAAAGTGATAGAACTCATGTATGATTTAATAAGATCTGATAAGTGGTAATGCTTCATTCTTACAAGTACTTATGGGTGATCAACCGCTGGTAATCACGAAGTAAGGGCCCAAGCTCTTTCAATGGAATCAACCTAGGATTATAATTGCTCCAATGTTTCCGAAGTGCCTGAGCGGCCTTCCACAAAAATGAAAGAAAAAAAACTATCAGATAACCTAATTAGATGACCTTGCATCGAAATATTTCCAACTTACCTCAATTTGTGTGACCCGTCCGGTGATAGAAGGTTCAACTTCACTTAAACTATATGCTAGATTAAGGAACTCCTTGTCCTCCATCTCGCCGACAACAGGTAGTCCAGGATTTGATAAAGAGATAGTAATCCCCAAACTTTTTCCTAACTCTACAACTGCATTGTGCCTCCCTTGAGAATCCTGTTCAGACTAATATGAAATATATTTTTATAATATTCACAGGAAACAATTCTGGGTATTGGAAAGGATAAACATAATATAGGATGAGATTCTTCAGACCTATTAGTTTATTTATTCAAAATCTTATGAAAAAATTCCAATCGAAAACAGGGAAGGCAAATCAAAGAGCTAGGAAATAAGGGGCCCAATCCATATTGCTAACATAATACGTTATCAATGATACAAACAATAAGCATAACCATTTACATATCCCTAGAAATTTACATGTTTTGCTAAGTTTAAAATTTTATTTCAAGTATTGGTTTGCAAAAGCCTCAAAAAACAATGCAAATTAAGATGCAAGAGTGACCAAACCATCATCACTTCAGTGCATATAGGGGGGTCATCCTGTTCCCAACTAGGTCTTTACCATGCAGGAAAGCTTTTGGGAGGAGCACCCAGAAAGAGGAAGATATTATCGAAGTTTGAAACTTCGAACATTTTAAGGTTTTTATGGATAAAATAAACTACCGATGATTTTGAATAAGAATATGAGCATGTCGATAATGTTTGGATGAGATGATCATTATGATTATCAGAGAGAGAATTTTTACTACTGATTGCTATCTATTTTTCATGAATGGTGTTGTTTTCGTAATTCCCTCTCTTAATAAAGAGAAATTTTATGTTCCCACTAAACTAATATCGCAAAATGAACCACCTATTAGGACTAAGAATGCATAAAGGCTATGTGTTCATTAAGTGAGAGCCTGTGTTCCAATACCTCCTGTGCGGAATTGGAATCTTCATTCAAAGTTGTCAAGTCCTTATTTTGAGGGAGATCGTTGGGTGATGTGGAAAACAATCTCTTTACAATTGGGTCCTCTGCAAGACATAATATACTTTATGAGGACTATCAAACTAGTTAGTCAACGAGAAGAAAATTAAACAATCATCAATCATGCGCTCTTACTAGTACCTCCAGTTCGAAGCAACACTTCTAACCTTTTTTTTTTTTCCGCTCGGTTAGGGTAGCAGAGGGGGAAATGGTACAAGTTAAGAGATGTCATTGAAGGTATTTTATGAGGAACCAAGCTTTAGTTGAGCTAAATGGAAGAAGCCAATGTTTAAGAACTCAGAAAAAGAAAAAGAAGAAGAAAAGGCGGTAAAACATTATGAGTAAAGCAATTGACTGATCCTCACTATTTACAGGTCAAGCTGGAGAGAGTACTTTCAGATTAACTATCAAGATATATTAATGGAAAATATGCATGCCTGAAAGTGAAAAAACTTCAAACTTTTCAAGAAGGAACATTGCGGACAAGATTCAAAGAACAGCTTTCTGAAAAGAAATGAAATACCTTCAGTAACTAACCACCACAGATCGCCAAAGGTTGATTTCCCATCAAAGCCACCAAATAACAAATAACGTGATCCAACACAGGTCATTGAATGGTATGCCCGTGCTGAAGGAGCTTCATTTCCAGTAGGCAACCGCTTCCATTGTGCAGTCACTGCATTTCAAAGAGAAAAGGCTACTCACCACAGAACAGTAAACCATTGAATAGATGAAGGAAAGATGGTTATCAATCATATTGGGAAAGTTTGACATGTTCAAGGTTTTTCTGGAGTGTACAGCCTGCTGTTCTCCTTCAGATTTCTCTCATTATTTATAAGTTGGAATAGAAGTCCTCAACTAAAAATCATCGTGTACATAGTTCACCTCCTTCCTAACCCCACCCATCCCCGTTGCAGCCCCCTAAAGCAATAGTGTTCCTTTTATGTGTGAAATTAAAGCCGCAGAAGAAATTGCCTTTTAGCAGCATACGGAGGTAATTATACACTCACCCCTATCCAACACAATTGAATCATTGTGGTAAACGTCATAGCGACTAAGCCAACCACCAGTCCCATGCCCTCCAAATAATAGTAGCTGTTAAGACAAGAAGGGGGTTATAATCAAGTAGAAGTAATACCAATGAAAGAGTACTAGCGAATGAAAGCTTGTTTGAAACTAATTGGAAAATTCTTTAATATATTCTCTTCTTTTCTTTTCTTTTCTTTTTCTTTTCCTTTCCTAAAACTCTGGAACGGTAGGGGAACACAACTTATCTTCACCTTGTTCTTTTGAGTCCCTTTTTCATTTTTGAAAAAAACTGCCTTTCTTGGAAACAAATTTCTTAGTAAAAAGAAAACTCCAAGGTTCCCTATTTCAACTAGACTTCTTCTTCTTCCATGAAAAATAAAAGATGATATACTCGCCACCAATAGGAGTTCACAACTTGAGTGCTCCTTAACGATTTTCATTTCTGATGAAGCTGATAATAGAGGTCACTAACAGGACTAAAAGCTTGAGCTATCCCGACAAATACACAACATCCTTTTTAGAGCGAAGCGAAGTACAAATAAGAAAGGTGAAAAAGAACAAAAATTCTGGAAAATGTAATTACATAATGTCCACCCGATGTAATGGTATGGCCACAACGGGGAGAAGGACCTTGACCCGGAAGCTTCAACTGGGTCCATCCCGGGGTTTCATTCTCTGCCACAAAACAGTGAAACATTTCATTAGCTGCTTAAAAAAAACTCGAACACACTGTAACTCAGAGGAAAAAAAAATCCTTCTGAAAGCCCAAATCTCTTGACCTCATTCAAAACAATTTATAAACAAACAAACCAAGGAGAAAAGGACACTACAACAGTGTTTCATCCTTCCATTTTTTAAAATGATCAGAGAATGTTTGTCCAATGAAAGTTTCTAGTAAATACACTAACCGGATAATGCTGGAGCAGATGAACAAATAAACAACACATACCCATCTATATTTGGATTGAGAAAACATAAAAATATTGAACAAACAGATAACAGAGAAGTAGGATATAACATTCTTAAAATGAAGATCCAAGATTCACAACTCGAAGTTGGACCTTGTAACAATGCAAATGAAGGTATCTTCACAATGAAAGCAAGACAGTTTGAGCATGTATATCTTAAATGGTCAATCACTCGTCCATGGATATCTGGGGTGTAGAATCTGATTACATAGGATAAATGTGTCATTACCCTTCAAACAACAATGTCATAGAAAATCAGAAAGATCTAGAAAAAAATTCATTTATCATAAGATTTAAATGGCCATAGAAAATAATAGTAAATTTTGAAAAACTAAGAAAGCAGAAAAATTCTTTCAATTTGGTAAGAAAAGGAAAAACAACCAACAACTAACCTTCTTCAATGAGTCCTTTCAAAGCCCATAAGTCACCCAATATTGGCCCACCACCTCCTATCCGTTCAAAAGGGCCAATTAGTTTAGCAGCAAAACTCAAATTTACAGAACCACATTTAAAATGATGAAACAAGATTTCTAAAATATAGTTAAGGACTAAGGTACAATACCAAAAAAAAAATAATTCCAATTTAGCAAAATCAAAGCATAAATAGCAAATTCCCACTTTTAAGTATTCTCAACCTCTAGGAGGTAATTAAAATAAGCATCAGATGTGTAACCAAGCCAACTATCTGTCTCACAACATAGTGATTTATTTATTTTCTTCCTTACCTTTTATATTTTATGAAACATAGTATGAAATTACAAAAGATCGGGAGAACCCAAAAGGATAGTTATATTTCTAACGATGTAAGAAGCTGGTAACGTCAATGAAAATGTACCGGTATGATTCATAATCAACAGAGATATCATTTAGAACATACAACTGTTGGGGGAATATTACACGTGGCTGTACCTCTTCCACCATAGACAAGCAACCTTTTCTCAAGCATAGTTGCTGTATGGCCACATCTTGGAGGAGGCAGTGATCCAGCAACTGAAAGTTCAGTCCATTCAAGTGACACTGCTTACAAAAAAAAAAAAAAAAAAAAAAAAAAAAAAAAAAAAAAAAAAAAAAAAAAAAAAAAAAAAAAGACAAACTTACAGAACAATCAACAATATAACTTAAAAGAAGAGTAAGAATGGCAAAAGGAGAAAAATTCTGAAATAACAAACAGAAGAAATGAAAAAGAAACTAAACAGGCAGAAGTGACGAAATTACTTGTGTCTAGGACATACACGTCTGACAACCACTTTTTACCATCCCAGCCACCATACCTGCACTCAATTTAAGCATATTGAATTTAGCAAATAAAAAGAAATTATTAGAACCGATCAAGAATGCAAGCATTAACACTCACATGACAATTTTCCGGTTCCCAAAAGAAGAAGCTGCAGCAAAGTCCCTTGGTGAAGGCAAGTCACCGAAACTAGTTAGCTCTGACCATTGCCAGATATCTAAAAGACACACGAGTTAAATAGTGAGCCAAATGATAGAAAACGTAGTTGAGTTTGAAATATAAGCAGTTACTTTCCATTACAATTGCAAGACTTCAGTACAGTAGAGAACCTTACCAGTGTCTAGAACCCAGAAATCACCCATCCTACATATACAATATCAGGATCAGTACAAGTATTGTGGAAAATTACAAGAGGAATCAAGAGTAGTTTAAGGTATACATTGGGAGGACTATAAGATAGAAATTACATATAATAAGTATTTCATGTTCAGTTCCCTTTTTTTAACTATAAAAATCCAGAAAGTCCTCATCATAGAGGAACAAACTAGATGAAGTTTTTAAACCACATAAGTGGATCAATACGAGTACATCCTAAATCACTAATTCACTTTTTGATAAAATAATTATTTTTAAAAAATAAAGTAATGGATTAAAATTAAATTTTAAAATAAACTAATTAACTAAATTAACAAAAGAAAAAAAAAATCCATAGACTGAGTATTTACATCCAACACCATCTTAGTTATGTTTATGAGCTGCTGAAGTGTCAACTCTCTCTTCCTCCATACTCCCACCTCTTTCATTATAGGGGTTCTATATGCTCTCAACAAGCACCATTAGAGTTGAAAGTACCGATCAAGTGGTGTGATCGGCCCACGACAGATGATTATTGGAGTTGTTTTCAGTTATCCATCCCTTGATTTCACCTTGAGGGCATGGTAAAACTTTGAGAAGAAAGAATTAAAAAGAAAGAAAGATCAACAATAATAAGTTATATATATCTATAAACAGTGAAGAATTGTAAGTGAATACCAGGGTTAGAAGTTAATATGAGAAGGTAATTAGATAGCTGGAATTGGGGGCTGTTATTGATTGTTATAGCAGACAACTGTAGTTGTTACTCAAAAAATGGCCAAAAGCTACATGATAAAAAGGGAGAAGGAAGTACAAGACTATATTGGAAAAAACTAGTGAACAGGACAGCTCATGCCCCTGAAATTCCTGGGAAACCATTGTAACAGTTATAATACAGATCAGTAATTTCTGAGTTAAGAAAATTGGCTGGAAATCGTAGGAAGGGTTTTTTTGGGTTGATAAGAATATCAGTGATTCTTGGTGCTAGTCAGTTTTTTGGACTACTCTTGAAAGTTTTTACCGAAGAATTCTGTGACTACTCCCTTTTCTATTTAATACAAACTATAGAGTACTTTTGTAGTCTCCATCTACTTTTGGTTGAGGAAGATGTCTCATTTTCCCATACACTTGTATTTATTTTTCTCTTTAACAAAAACTTATGTTAGAATATCTACAAATTTAGAGCCAAATATCAAAAAGTAGACTATAATAATCAAATTTTCATATATATATGATTGTTCTCATCCTATTATTACACATTACATCCGAACTAAGGGGAACAAATATCACAGCATTTCAACATTTTTTTCTTCTAGGGGTGAATACCTTTTGCTACCTGAACGTCCACCAAAAACAAACATGTGGCAATCAATTGCAACAGCAATGTGAAAAGCTCGTGGACTGGGACCAACTTGATCGTCTGAGCCATTGCCAGTGCATTCTGGCTGAAACCATAACTTATTGTCTGCAATATGAGAGTAAGAATATAGTCACATTAATAAAAGTAAAACCATGGTAATTTTTACTTTTAGTCTTAAATCTAATTATCATGAATACAGTAGACCATGATTTCATAGGTAACAATCTACCATAATGAACTCATTCAAATGACCAAATATTCTGCAGCAAGCAAACAAACCCAAAGACTTCGTGTACTGAACCACGTAGCTTAATCTCAACCTAGTAAATTTAATTCCACATCAAATTACATTTCTCATTTTTCTAATTTATTTACTTTAATATATTCCCTGCCAACATCTAGGTCTTTTTAAGAGACGATAGCCTTGATCAAACCATGATCAGATCCAATACCTGTCCATTTCAATAAAAAAAAAAATATCTGATCCTGTAATCGAGGTACTTTCATCATATAAAACATAGTCAAATATAGTGTAGATCTATTCCTTTCGACGTGAGTTACAGTCAGTCTTTGAACTTCAACATTTTCCTAAAATGAAGACACTTGCTGCATAAAAAGCAGGACCGACATTCATTAGATGTCCATTCGCTTCCTTAAACCAGTAAAGAAAACAGTGTCTAAATGTATCCTGAATGATAGAATCGCAAACTTGCCTATGAATTTTTCTCAGGTATGAAATTCATTGGACCAATTCACCATTCTTCTAGGAGTTACACTCACGAGTAGATTCTCTTCCTATCATTATCGTTCACATCAGAACTTCAACCTAACAGATCTCTACTGATATCGCAAAAATTCGAATGAATAAATATCCGTGAGCAGTAAGAAATCCGTCTAATAATAATCAATCTCCACACTCAACAAAATCAAAGAACAACATCGACAAAACGTAAAATCATAATCGCCGAATCAAGAGACGCATTTCTTACACAAAATACAACTCCAAACCAAACCGAAAATAAAACAAATAAAAGCTCGATCAAACTATAAAAATGGAAATATAAAGAACAATACGAACAAAATCAAGAAGACAGCGAGGAATAACGTAACAGAGCAATACGATTACGAGGACAAAAGGTATATGAAAAAGTAAAAACAATCGGAAACGAGAAGTACCGATGTCATAAACGGCGATATCGCTCAGAAATTTCTTGTCGACAAGGCCACCAAACACGACGACCTTCGAATTCCCGATGTTAACCGCAGAGTGGCCACTGAAACTCCAAAGAACGAGCAATCAATGAAGGAAAGAACAAATCGTACAGAATTCACACACGAAGAAAGAGATAAATGCCTGCGAGGTTTGGGAAGAGTTCCGCTGAAATCAGAGGGAGACGCTTTCACCCAGTAGTGCATACTTTCTTCCTCCTCTTGCCCACTTCACCTGGGACGCAGACGAGAGAACTTTGGTCAACAAATATGTGTCTAGCCCACCCGCGAGAATTCGACCTGTATTTTTATTTTGGGTGGGAATTTCAACTAAAAATAAAAATAAAAATCCTTAATCGTTTATCATGTAAACGTTGGCAGTTATTCCAGCTTTATTTTTAAATATTTATATTTGTGTTCTTATTTAACTCGTTTAAAAAAAAAAAAATATATATATATATATATATATATATATGAGACATGGGCCAAGCAAGGAAGAAGAAAGAACCTTGGATCGAAGCCCAAAATGGAAATCGGGCCTAAGCCCAGGGAAATTGGGCGGCCCAATTTCATGTTCTCGACATTGTTAGGATCGACCACTCAAGGGTCATGGGCCATAAACGCTGTGATATATTGTTAGTATTTATTATTAAATTGATTTATTGAAAATTTTATCTGATTTTGAAGTTTTCTTTTTTTATATATTAATTAAAACATAATAATAGTAGATATTAGAACGTTAGAAAGGGTTATCAAAATAGCTTGCCAAATATCAAACCAAGTCATCCCCTCTTCTTCCATTTTCAACTTAATTAAAATATTATAATAACAATAAATAATTGAAGGCTTGAACGATCATTTAGGTTGTACATTCAACCAAACAACCTATACCAACCCAACCCGAACTATAAGAGTTGGGTTGGGTTAACACTTCGGGTAGGATTAGATTCATTTTTCTAAACCCAAACTGAATCGGTTCGATTTCGAGTTCATGGACAAAACTTTCAAGTTAGACCCGAGCCCAATAAAAATATATAAAATATATTAAGCTCCAGTATTAATGGATTTGTTTATATTATCCTATTTCATTTTTATTATCCTGTTTATATTGTTTTAATATTTTATTATCCTGTTTATATTGTTTTAATATTTTATTATTTTTAATTTATTTATTTTGTTTTTATGTTTATATTGTTTTGTTATTTTATTATTTTTAATTTCTTTATTTAATTTCATAATTTATTATTCTTATATTTTTGTTACTTTAACAAATTCTCAAAAAAAAAATGTCAATATTTAGTTGTCTTTAGTTTTATGACAATGTTGATACAATTTTCGCTAATTATTTTTTATTAAAAAAAATCATAATTATAGTTTGATTTGTGTCTGTTCATGAATTTTTTTAATATATTTTATTAAGATTGTATCCGAATAATTATAAATGATGGATAAATAAAATTAAAAAAAAATTAAGAGCTCGAAAATAGAAGGTTGGGTTGTGAAAAGTTTTAAGTCACGTAAAAAAAAATCCAACAAAACCTAATTTCCACCATGTACACCCCTGCAATTATTAACCATTTTGATTTTTTTTTAATGGAGAACAGACATCAAATCTCAACTGCAATCTATTTTTTTATTTTAATTTTCAAACTTTCAATATTTTATTATAATATTTAATTTAAAAAGAAAAACTACTCCACCTAATATACCAATAATAATTAGTGTGGAAGTTTATTTGGATAAATGAGAAAGTCTTCTAGAAGCTTTCTAGACAGAGGAGACAACTATTTGTTCTCGGCGACCGACCGACGATTAGGATTTTTCAATCTCGTGGAAACTAATTTTCAGGATTCGTCTATTTTACAACTCATTTCGATAAGGAATCCAATTTGGCACAAAAAACCAAAATAGCACATGCACACCATATTATAGAATTTTTTTTCTCAATTTTGGAAAATAATTTATGTAATTTTAAAGTTTCATTAATACCGTAAAAAAATAAAACTTAAAAAAAATATAATTAATTTTACTTAAAATTAAAAAAAGATTCTTATAAAATATACTCGTAAATTTTTACAAACAACATTAATATAACAATATTATATATAAATAATTTTTCAAATTTTCAAATATCTAAATTCTTTAAATTTATTAAAAAAATTATGAAACCCTTGCGTAATACTATTTTATTGTTTTCCTTTATTACACTATAATTTATTTCTTACTTTTATCAAGAATACGACACAAAATTATGTCTCCACCTAGTAGACTAAAATGGTCTAAAATGTACTGGAGGCGGATACTAATTATCAATTTCTCTACCCAAACAGTTATATACAAGTTATTGTTGCCTTATTTCAAGTCTCTCACACACTGTTGCTTAACTCTCAGCCTCGCTTTCTAAAATCTTATTCTCAAATTAGAGTCATAGACTCGATAATATGTTGTTCGGCCATAGACAACACAATCCGAAGTTGGCCTAACTTACTTAGTGCTGAGAGTGAGTGTCACACCATCCCCATCATTACTAAGGATTGAATGTGATACACGATGCACTCTCCGATCAAATTAGATGTGTCTTTTTAATTCTAAAATATAAAACATATTTTATGAATGTATCTTATATTATATATTACTCTTCCCATTATCCTCCCTTCCATCCCATTAGCCTCTCGTCTTCTTCACTCATACATTGAGCTCGCCATGGAACCAAAGAAACCAACTAAAGAAATTCTGATGTTTCCATGGCTAGCATTCGGCCACGTATCTCCCTTCATCCAGCTCGCCAAACACCTTCGAAATTCACATATGTTCTTCCCCTGTAAACCTCCAAAGCATCCAATCAAAACTCCGCCAAACCCCCTCAAATCCCATCCACCTCCTCCACCTCAACCTCCCACCGTCGCCGGAGCTCCCCCCCCACCCCCCCACATGCACTCCACCTAATTCCCACTCTCCTCAAGGCCGCCCCTGATTTCACCTCAATTTTGCACAAATTAAACCCCGATTTACTCATCACCGACATGTTCCAACCCTGGGCCGTCTATTCCGCTGCCGCTCTCAACATCCCCACCGTCTTCTTCCTCGTCGTCGGCGCCGGAACGTTCTCCTACTCCGTTCATTACGTTCTTCGCCACAGCGTTGAAATCCCTTTCCCCGAACTCGATCTACAAAATCATTGGTTATTTAAACGGCATCAAAACGATCCGTCGGATTCGAGTGTTAGTGTTGCGACAAGTCGGTTTCTTCAATTAGTGAAAGATCTCGAGGCTTACTCCGACGTCGTTTTGGTTAACTAGTTTATGGAGATTGAGAGTAAGTACATTGACTATCTCTCTGTTTTGTTGAAGAAAAAGGTCGTTCCTGTCGGCCCACTCGTTGCATTGTCGGATGAGAAATCCGACGTGTTGGATTGGCTTGATCAAAAGAAGCCGAAATCAACGGTGTACGTTTCGTTTGAGAGTGAGTATTATTTATCAAAGGAAGATCGTGCTGAGCTGGCAATGGGTCTTGAAATGAGTGGGGCCAATTTCATATGGGTTATAAGATTTGGTAAAGGGGAGAACGTTGGGATTCGAGAGGCTTTGCCAGATGGGTTTATTGAGAGAGTTGGGGAGAGAGGTTTGGTGGTGGATGGGTGGGCCCCGCAGATGGGGATATTGAAGCATACGAGTATTGGTGGTTTTGTGTGTCATTGTGGGTGGAATTCGGCGGTGGAGGCGGTGGTGAATGCGGTGCCGATTATTGCTCTGCCGATGCAGTTGGATCAACCTTGTCATGGGAAGGTGGCGGTGGCTGCCGGTGTCGCCGTTGAGGCGGCGAGAGGCGTGGATGGTGCTATTGAGAGGGAAGGGGTTGCTAAGGCTATTAAAGAAGTGTTGTTTGAGAAGAAGGGGGAGGAGTTGAGTGGGAAAGCGAAGGAAATTAGTGAGAGTTTGAAAGTCAAAGATGGGAAGAACATTGAAGCGTGTGTGGTGGAGATTAGCAGAATTTTGGAATCTGGAAAATTTTGATTAAATTTTATATTATTTTGTTATTTTGATGATTATTGTATGGGAAGCGTCTAAGTTTTAGTTTATTTCAGTAATATCATTTATGTTAATCTTTAAAATAGAGCCGATAGTAAGGTCACTAACTTAAGATGAAATTAGTCAAGTTTATCTATAAATGTAAATCTGCTCGATTTCATCTTGAAGTTATTTGAAGTATTGTCTAGGTGTTCACACATAGTAGAACAATCACCTAATTTTCTTTGTCAGGGTAGTTTATTCGCTTAATTTAATTTGAATTGAGAAATTAGATATTATGTTGATCTTAATTACGTTAACTAAGGTCAAATTCAGCTCTAGGATGGTCCAAAATGTATGGACAGGTGTAAAAAATGTCAACTCGAGTTGGATAAGTCGATGTTAAGCCCTCTGGAGCTGATGGAGTCGACACGCTTCATGCACGTGTAGGTGTTGGAGCACGCATGAGTCGTCGGAGCAGGTCGAATCGCATTCTCGATTATGCGTGGGTCGCGTTCTTGGGTGGTAGATGTGAGGTAGAACGTGAGGTTTAAGTTGAATATCACTAAGTCATGATCTTGCATATTGACTTAATTATGTCTGAGTCTCGAGTCGTTGAGTATTACTTTCTTAACTCGACTCAATCAAAAATATTTCAATGGACTTAATTTTTATTTTCTTGTTATTTTGATGAATTATTATATATAATATATATACTTATACGCGAGTGTAATAAAAAATGGTGAAATTGAAATTTGTTTTTTTTTTTTTTTTCTGGATCTGGTCTAGTAGATTAGAAGCTTAAGGGAGAACTCAATCGATTTAAAAAATTTTAATTTAATAAATGTGAGTTTTAAAAAATACTCATAAATACGGGTGAACTTTTAAGAGTAATATTAAAAATTTTGAAAATAATCTATAAGACACAGATAGTCGGACGGGAAGTGGTGTTTCCAATGGTGGACGAGTGAGTAACGCGTAAGAACCTATCTTTGGGAGGGAAACAACAACTGGAAACGGCTATTAATAACCCGTACGCTGAGGAGCAAAAGGAAGAATCCACTCGAAGAAGGGCTTGGTCTGATTAGCTAGTTGGTGAGGCAATAGCTTACCAAGACAATGATGAGTAGCGGGTCCGACCACACTAAGATTGAGACACATCCTAGACTCCTACAAGAGGCAGCGGTGGGGATTTTTCCGTAGTGTGATTTTCATAAATATATTGATCAATAATAATTTTTTTGAACTTTTTTTTATAAACATAAAATAAATTAATGTTATTTTTAAAAGTTTATGAATATTTTTTAGTATTTTTTTATTTTTTTATTTTTAATGAGAGGATATTAATAAAACTTTTTATAATTTAATAGTATTTTTTAAACACATATTTTTTAAACAAAATAATAACGGTCTTCGTCTTAATCAATGGCAAGAGAATTTTTTTTAGACTTTTATGGAAATTTAAAGGTATTATTAAAATATTATTTTTAGATCAAATATAAAATTTATAAATATTTTTATTAATTTAATCAAAACTATTGATAATAAATATTCTTATATAATCCGTTTATGAATGGAATAAAGAACCATTTAGTCATCTCTCTTAATAATACAACTTTGTAGCTATTTTTTATTTTGATAAATAAATATAATATATATATATATATATATATATATATATTATTTTATTATTATTATTATTTTTTACATCGGTCACAATTCCAATATTGTTTAGTAGCAATGGATTTCTATGATCTGTTCTTAATGAAAGCCCAATCGCAGTTTTAATTGGGCTCTTTTGGATTGCACGTCTTTTTTTCTTTTTTAATTTCTTATATTTTTAAATTATGCTGGTAAGAACTATTTTATGAATTTTTATAATTCTTTATAAATATTTTTAAAATCCCAAGTCAATTTTGATTAAAAAAATTGCTTTCTATTTTTTAAACTCAATTAAAAATTCATATATTTCGTCCACGAATATGAAAATTATTTTCTAGTGTAAGAAAACAAACAAAATTTTCAAAAATTAAAGGATTGTTGTTTAATTTTTAATAACATATTTAATTTATTATTATTAGTTCAAGAATTACTAATACAATCATAACTTAGTACAAAAAAACATAATTAACTATTCTAATGATCGATTATTGAATTCCAGCCTTGTAATTATTTAATTAAAAAAAGTTTCGACAAATAATTTCGATCTGGATGATCATGATCATGCGACATGTAATTCCATAATAATAATGGATTAATTTCGACAAATAATTTCAATCTAGGATGATCGTGATCACGAACATGTCATTTCATAGTAACTGTGGGCTAAGTTCAACACATAATTTTGATCTAAGATGATCGAGATTAGGTGACAAGTCATTCCATAATAATCATGGGCTAAGTTCAACACGTAATTTTGATCTAGAATATTCACGATCATGTGACAAATCATTCCATAATAACTATAGGTTAAGGTCGACTCATAATTTCAATATGTGATGATCATGATCATGTGACATATCATTCCACAATAATCGTGGGTTAATTCCGACAAATAATTTTGATCAAGGACGATCATGATCACATGCCACATCATTCCACAGTAACCAATGGCTAAGTTGAAAATATAATTCGATCTAGGATGATCGCGATCACGTGACATGTCATTCCACAATAACCGTGGGTTAATCCCGACACATATCAAGAACGACCATGATCACGTACCACGTCATTCCACAGTAACCTAGGTCGAAGTTCAAAATATAATTCGATCTAAGATGATCACGATCACGTGACATGTCATTCCACAATAACCGTGGGTTAATTCCGACACATAATTTCGATCAAGGACAATCATGATCGCGTGTCGCGTCATTCCACAGTAACCAAGGGCTAAGTTCAAAATATAATTCAATCTAGGATGATCACGATCACGTGACATGTCATTCCACAATAACCATGGGTTAAGTTCGACACATAATTTCGAGCTAGGATGATGATGATCACGTGACGGATCGTTCCAACCACTAGAATAATTCGTCCATCTACAAATCGATATATATATTATTGTTCTAATCATACCCTTTTCCTCCAAATCTCTTCATAATCTCCATTAACGCAGCTTCTCGAGCTTCAATCCAAGCTCTCTCCCTCGCACAAAACTCATTCATTTCATGATCAAATTTCGCCACTTCTTTCTTCCTCCATTCCTCCTCTTTCAAAATCCTCTCCTTTTCTCCATCTTCCACACTCGCCATAATCTTCTCCATCCAATTCTCCTGCACTTCCATTAACCTACTCAGCTTAGAATCCAACATTTTCTCCACCTCCTCCCTCCACCTCCCGCCTCGACCACCGTCCCCTTTCGACTTGTCGTCTTCCCTCGCCTTCTCCACCCTCCTTTGATTCATCATAAACGCTATCGCCGACAAGTCGTCGTCATGGTAGTTCCCTGACGACGACGTTTCAAAATCCGACGAAATTGAAAAGCTTAAACTCGTTCCACCCACCAATGCCTTCTCGTTGCCGTTGTTATTGTTAATGCCTGCTTCTCCGGCTTCGACGGCAGAGGTTCCATAGATGTTAGATTCCACAACGGTGGGGGAGGATAATTGGTCGTTACATCCGCCGTATATGGCTTCGAGTTGCCGGAAAAATCTGTAGTGCTTCCCGTCGTGCCTCCCCGTTTTGCCCTCCTTTGTTTTCTTGTAGTATTTGTATAAATTGTCGAACTTTTCTTTGCATTTTTTCCCACTCCTTTTGTACCCGTATTCCACGTCCATCATCCTATTAAATAAAAAATATATATATTTTTTTTCAATTTCTCATTAATTTAATATTAATTTTTTACTAATATTTTGAAAAAAATAATGAGTTTTGTGTATGATTTCAGGTAAGAAAGCCCTAGGGTTAGATTGTGAAAGAATTTGAATGGATTTTTTTTTTCTTTTAAATTTAAATATGGAAACATTCCCTATAATTGTACTAAAGATCAGTTGCAAAATACGAGGTTGTAATGATTTTAGTTTATAATGTGCAAATCATATGGTATATAATAATATTTATGTAACATATAAAATAATTTGAAAATAAAAAAGTTTATAATTAATTAATATGTGATTAATAAAATAAATATATACCTAGAAACCTGATCCCAAAGGGGACCTTTCTGATTACTCTCTTTAAACTTTGAATCAAGCCGAGATCTGATCTCAAGAAGAGTGAGAGTTTCCTGCCTTGGCCATCTACTATTAGCTCCATTACTTCCTCCAACGACGTCGTTTCCATACGGACACCATTCGCTATCCATCATCTTATTCCGCCGGTAAAACGGAGCTGACACAGCGGCGGAGGGGGTTGCGCCGCCAGCGGCGGTGGAGGTATTGGAACAGCCAAACTGAAAAAGCCCATCGGGGAGAACGGCGGGATCGGGAAGAAGGAGCTGGAGAGGGGGGAATTTGGGGAGTGGCGGTGGCGGCGGTGGTGGTGCCGGAGAGAAACCACGTGTCAGGTGGGTGTGGTGAGGGAAGAAGGAGTCTAGGGTTTGTGGGGTTGCCGGAAAGATGGGTTTGTCGGCGGTGAGTTGCCGGAGATCTGGGTATGTGTATTTGTCGGACATGTTATGGGGGGCGTTGGAGAGTGAAAAACTGAAAATTCAGGTGAAGAGAAAAGGAAAGGGGTCCATAGTGGAAGCTGGTTGGAGAGAAAAATATGAGGCTTTAGGCTAGGGAGGGAGGCAGGATCCGAGTCTTCCGCAACTTAATTTCATTAGAGAGAAAAGGAGCTTTCGATTGCACTCCTCCAATCATCTTTTTACACGTGTAAAAACATTATACAATCATGATAAAATCAAAAAATTATAATACTACAGCATTAACTACAAAATTATATTGGTAAAGGTCGTTTGGTTTGAAATTTTGTTAATAAAAAAAATATTTATTTTGTGTTATTTAGACATATTTTCAGAATTTTATATAAATAAATAATACTTTTATTTAATTTTATAATATAATTTTAAATAATTTCTATATTTTTATTAAGTTAAATTATTAAAATTTTAATTTAATTTTCATTCATTAATAAATAAATTGTAAATAATATGCCTTAAATTTATATTTTTTAATTTATTTAACAATAATTATCCTTAAAAATAATTAGTTAAATTTAAATAAAATAAATATTTATATTATTATGTCAGCTTTTCTTTATAGTCTCTACGTTAATAACTGTCCATAAAAATATAATATATTACATCTTATAAGAATTTTGGAATTATGCGATCGTTATCGAATATAAGTTTGTCTAGGAAAATTATTATAAAAAATAGTTTTATGAGTTTTTTTTAAAAAATAAGTATTAAATTAGAATATAATTCTAAATTAAAGTTGAATTTGATACTATATATTATTAATCGTACCCTAAATTAAAAGTATATGTTAAAAAAAATAGCAAGTAAAATTTACCCCTGGTAACAAAATAATAATATAGTAATAATAATAAATATTAATCAAATCGTTCATTAATGGTAAAGTCATTTCAAGTCATGTTTAAAGAACCGTGTCCGAAGGTCCAATAACATTTACTAATTATTTTCAGTAAATAATAATAATAATTGTTTATTTATTTTATTTTATTTTTCGTGGATGGAAGAGGATCTAGATTCCACTATAATCCATTGTTCTGCTCAGATTATGTCATCCTCCATCATCCCAATCATATCATAACAATTTAATTTTTTTATTTTTCTTTTTTAGTTTAAAAGTTAAAGGATTAAAGCTGTTAAATTGGTTTAATGTAATTTTAACCTTTTATTAAAAAAAATAATAACGATAAATAAAATATGTCCCTCAAAACGGTGCGTTTTGGGTTGTAATAAAAGATATGCATCTCGAATTGACTTTAAACTGTTTTTGTACGTGCTAACCAAGGCCATGTCCCCTGGTGGTACATCACTAAAGCCTGTAATTTGCTAACTCAGAAGTTGTCTGGGAGATGGTTTTTCCCATCCAAATAAATAAATATAATATATATTTTGGAGGATTAAAATACTAATTTAGAAATTGTCATAAGTTTATAATCAAACAATACTTTTTTCATTGGCCTAAAGCAAAATCATGAGAGCTTATATTCAAAGTGGACAATATCATACCATTGTGGAGAGTCGTGTTCATCTAACATTATATCAGAGTCATGTCTTAAACTTAGTCGTGTCAATAGATTAGTAAATCCTCAAACATCGAACAAAGAACTCCAAAAAAAAAAAGAATCAAGCTTCCTCGAATGCATAGTAAAAAATGACAAACTACAAAGGAGTCAAGCCTCGATTAAGAGACTAATTTAGAAAATGGTCATGGGTTTATAACAATATTATACAAATGTGGAGAGTCGTGTTCATTTAACAATATATATTATAATAAATTTTAACGGTTAAATTAATTTGATCGTTCAATAAAATAAATTTTTTATAATTTTCTAAATTTATAAATTTATGATGTTTAATAGTTGTACATCCTTAAATAACAAATTAAATAAACTCATGGATAAGTACATTTTTAGAAAATATTAACCCAACATAAAAATAATTTGTTTGAAAAACACTTCACGAAATTCAAATATGCATAAAGGCATTATCGTCCATATATGTTATTATTTGAGAAGTTGCTCTTTAAAGTGGGTCCCACTTATTAATGGTCAAGATAAATAATATATCCATATATCTCATATAATGATAATATACTATGTTAGGTTCATCATGCTAATGTTTATAATGCATTTTACAATTAAAAACAACAATAAACCAATGTCGTTGTTCGTGTTCAATAAAAGTAAAAAATAAACGATTTATTTTCTTCTAAGATTTAATACAATTTTGATGGTTTGTTATGGTATGATTTCACGTCGATTAATTTGTTAGTGTATGATTCCACGTTGGTTAAAATAAGGAATGTAACATTATTTACAAAAGTGTGAAATCTCTTTCTAGTAGATGCATTTTCAAATCATGAGATTGACGACAGTGTGTAACGAACCAAAGCGGACAATATATACTAGCAGTGGGCTTATATTGTTATAAATGATATCATAGCTAGACACCGGACGATGTGTCAGTAAGGACGCTGGGCTCCTAAGAGGGTGGATTGGATTGTGAGATCCCACTTTAGTTGGAAAGAGGAACAAAACAAAATATATGCTGGTTCTGGACTGTTGCAAATGGTATCAGAACTAGATACGAGACAGTGAGATAACGAGGATGCTGGACTCCTAACGGAGGTGGATTGTGAGATCTCATATCCCTTAAGAAGGGAAAAAAACGAAATCGAGTGGACTATGAAAATTATTATTTTAATTGAATTTTAGTTACAATGAGTGGTTAATTGAATTAAATTTTCAATACAAATTAATGTCGACTCTACAAATAATGTAAATATATATAATATACAAAATTATAAACATAAAATAATAGTAAAAAAATCGGCAATATAATAATATTGGTTAAATTATCATTTTGGCAATGCACTTTATGTTTTGTTTTATTTTAATTGAATTTCTAATATTTGTAATTGGTTTTTATAATTAATTTCTTTCTAATTTTTCTATAAAAGAAAAAAAAATATTAATATTATTTAATCAATTTTGATATTAAAAATAAAAAAATAAAAAAACTCTAAACTAGTAGCGAAATACAAAAGTATATTAAATAAATTTAGATATTTAAATACAGATGAAATTAAAAAGAAAAAAAAAATTAAAGTACATAATATAAAATAATGTTTTATTTGGTATTTACTATTGAAAGCGATGTCGTTTTCCAGATATGTAAAGAGAGTTGATGTTTTTGGTACCGTATGGAACTGGGGATTGCATATTACGAGAAAGCGCTTACAGTGGATAATTTCTGTCGCCATCGGCAACTGGCGTTACCGGGATCCGTTTCTTTCCTCGTCACGTAAAAACAATTCAGTTGCTACTCTTCCTGTCAGATCTGATGACTTACCCCAGACGTTACCCGTGACTTACCACATGCCACGTCATCACTCAATTATCTCACTTTAAAAAAAGAAATAATATAAAGCATAAAGAAGAAACAAAATGGAAAATATTATTTTAATCCCGACAATTTTAATGAGTTATACGACACGTGACAGTAAATAAAAGAGTGTCGGTAAATTATATCCATTAAACATTGTGCAGGTGCCAGGTGATCTGGTACGGATCACCACAATTTACAAATTACCTATTAATTAAAAAATAATTTATTCCCTCAAATTTTGGCGTGTTTGTTAAAATTTTAAATTAATTATTGTATAATTTAAACAAGTTTATTAATTTACTCATAATAATATAAATTGATAAATTTTAATTAAATAGTCTAAAATAAATAAAAAAAAAAAACTAGATTTGTATACCTTTATAAATATCTAACATAATATTAACAAAATTAAAAAATTATTTTAAATTATAAATCAACTTGAGATTTTTGTATGTATGAGATCGAGAAAGTTTTCTAACTGATCAGAAAGCACCTCAAGGAAAAATAAAATTCAGATTATTATTGATCAAATATCTCACGGAAAGGATATTGGAAGGATATTTGATTGAGATTTGAAACACTTTATCACATTCAATATAATCTATTTAAAATTGCAAAAAAAAAAAAAAAAAAAAAAAAAAAAAAAAAACTATTTTAATTATATTTTTCAATTTTATTTTACAAATATACCATACATTATTTTATATATCCTATGAGTTGTAACTTTCATGTTCATAACCATAATTAGCATATGTGTATACTTTATGACCATAATTAGCTAGTAACTATAATCTTAAAGTAAATAAAAATCGTAAAATATTTTAAAAAAATACTATAACTCTAAATTATCATTCACCCAAAATTTGTAATTATTAAATAACAAGTGGAGCTCTTTAATGTTGTATGAACCGCAATAATTTAAACAACATTTTCTACATATATTTCTTTAATTTGATATATTGGTTTGTATCATAGCAATATAAACTTAAATTGTTAAACAAAATTTCTTAACTAGCTGTTACTTAAATTTAAATAGTCAACTTCCCCTAAAATAAAATAAAATGTTCACAAGTTTAGGGATCTAATAGTTGGTTGCCGTACTTTTTATTTATTTATTTATTATTATTTATAAGAAAACGACTTAATTAAGCTTATTATTATTATAAAGGAGGGGTCATATGGAAGAATTTGAAAGACTATAATTTAGGGCCATTATAACTTTTATAATTTATCAATCAATAGGAGACCATATTAGCAAAAAAGAAGGAAAAAAAATATTTTTTTAATCACATTTATTTAATTTAGTAGAGTTTTTTCCATATTTTAAAATATAAAAAATAATAATAAAGAAAATGAAAGGATTTTGTCGGGGAAGTGGGTTTTGTCTTTGCCTAAAAGGGAATGTGGCGCCATTTCTATTCCTCTCTATTCACAACAGCTGTACATCACAGGCAGTCAGGGAGCCGTGTACGGACAGACCAACGGTGTGGGGACCACGCTGGAAAATAGCGTGGGAGAGATCTGCAGAGGGAGAGTGGAGAGTGGAGGAGACTGAGACTACTGCGAAAAAAGCTACCGCTGCGCTTCTTTTCATGTCATCATTCTATAATCTCCCTTCCGCTTAAAACAACAACAAAAATAATAAGTAAATAATATTTGTACTTTTATTTAAATAATACTTCTAAATTAAATGCTCATAAATAATAATATAATTTTAACATTTTAAAAAATTTTATTAAAGAAAAAATATTAAAATATTAAAATTTTATATTTAATATAGTTTTATCATTCTCTTATGATTTGTGAATATTTATATGTTATTTAATTAATTGAATAATTGATTATATCATTTCTCACTAATATTTACTTTGTTTTAGTCGTTCTTGTTCAAAATGTTTGGTTCATGACTGTCCGTTCTAAACTCTTTTTACTTGCTTCCATGTCATATAATTTCAATACTAGATGTATAACTTATCACCAAAATTATGTCTACACGTAGAGTTAAAATGCCTCAAAATATACTATTGATAAGAAAAGGAACCACTACAAGGGGAGTAAGATTCGGATTACCTTGNTGATCGAATATCTCAAGGCAAGAACATTGTTTGAGATTCGAATCACTCCACAAGCAAGATCGATCATGTCTAGCTTGAATGATTCTTGTTGATCAAATATCTCAAGGCAAGAACACTTCCATGAGATTCGAATCACTCCACAAGAAAGATTGATCATGTCGAGCTTGAATGATTCTACATGCAACCTAAACTACTGATCGATCTTGCTTGTGGAGTGATTCGAATCTCAAACAATGTTCTTGTCTTGAGATATTCGATCAACAAGGTAATCCGAATCTTACTCCCCTTGTAGTGGTTTTTTATCCATATCAACTATGGTCAATTCTTTGTGTTCAAAACCACTCTTATGTAGTAAACACTCTGGTTACTTTATTAAAACCAATCAATAAGAGATTTACAAAATATTATGTAGAAACCACGGTTTATAGTGCTTGAAATTTCTTGGGATGATAAACTAAGTAGAGTGAAAAGGTATTTATACTATTATATGATAGGTGATCAATTCCTAAAATTTTCTTTTAAAGTATCTAAATTATTTTTCTAAATTTATTCCTATAATCCTAAATCATTTTCTTTAACATAAATATAGTCACATCAGGCTTAACCTCGCTAGTGATGATATTTTAACATTTTTCCTTATTTAGTTCCATTCCTATTTGAGTTCCACACTTTCTAAGGTTGGATGACTTCCACTAATTTAGGGAATGATTATAGGTTTATAATTGAAGAATATTGAAACATATAAAAGCTCAAAGCAAAGTCATGAGAACTTATACTCAAAGTGGAGAACATCCTACCATTGTTGAGAGTCGTGTTCGTTTAACATCTAAAACATTTGTTTCAAACGGGAATGAAATTCAGTATATGTTAAAATTGTTTATAAAGTCCGAATTTCACACAAATTTGCTATTTGTTGAGTTAAAGGCTGCTAAAAGAGTGTGATTGGACAATACACACGAGTTTTCCAATGCCCAGTTCCTCGTATTGTTTCCCTCACTCGACAGACATGGATGCCGCGAACGGCTGCAGATTCCGGGAACTTTCCCGGCCATAGCACGTGCGAAAAAAGTGAACCATAGTCTGAACGGCGACGGATTGGGCGGAAATATCAAGGAAAGAGAAGGAGAAAGAAATGGGGCGAAGGGATCCGACGGCGGCGAGGGCGGTTGCGTTGACTGGTTTGCTTGGTTGGGCAAGCGTTCAGGTTTTACTGCTGCGCTTCTTGTTTTCGTTCTAATTACATTACTATAGAAGAAGAACAACAAAAACAACAAGCTTGTGAAGTCCCTTTCATGGTTGATTTGTTGGATTTCCATTGTAAATCTATGTCCTCTGTGTATAAATTGATGGTGAAATTGAACTTTTAGTTGGTTTTTGTCACTTTTTGAAGCTTGTAATTGCTATCTCTTTAGGTATTCTAGCTATTATATGTTGGGAGATCTCATATCAATTCACGAGGAGAACTAAACTTTTTTTATAGAGACGTGGAAACCGCGCATTTTAAAAATATTGAGGAGAAGTTCTAAAGGAAAAACATAGAGGACAATATAGGCTAACAGTGGGCTTGGACGTTTATAAATGGTATCAGAGCCAAAAAATGGGAGATGTGCTAGCGAGGAGGCTGAGTTTCGAAGGGGTTGGACATGAAACGGTTGTGCTAACAAGGACGTTGGGCTCCGAAGGAGGTGGGGATTGGGGGGTCTCACATCGATTGAAGAAGGAACGAACGCTAGCGAGGATGTTGGGTCTTGTAAAGGGTGGATTGTGAGATCTCACATCAGTTGGGGTTGGGGAAGAGAAAGAAACATTTTTTATAAGGATGTGGAAACCTCTCGATATCACAACTAGACACTGTGCGATGTGCCAGGGAGGAGGTTGAACCCTGAAGAGGATGGAAACGAGGCGGTGTGCCAGCAAGAACGCTGGATTTCGAAGGGGGTGAATTAGATGGTCTCACATTGATTGGAAAAGGGAACAAGTGCCAACGAGGACGCTGGGCCCGGTAAGAGGTGGATTGTGAGATCCCATATTTGATGGGGAGAGAACGAAAATATTCTTTATGAGAGTGTAGAAACCTTTCCCTAGCCGACGTGTTTTAAAAAACCTCGAGGGAAAGTCTGGAAAGAGATGTTACAAATAGCATAAGAGTCAGACACTAGATGATATGTAGGCGAGAAGGTTGAGTCCTGAAGTTGGTCTTGTTGAAGAGTACTCGAAAATAACTACCAAATATTTGTACTCTTCCTTAAAGTTGGTCCTGTTTTTGTCTGGTCAAACTTGCCAATAGACCCAAACGCACGTTAGGCTTCTTCTAAACCAAAAACCACCAACCAAGGAAAAGCCTCTTGAACTCCAAAGGTCCTGAAGAGAGCCCACCACAACTGAGAGGCGAAAGAGCAGCGTAGGAATAATTTGTATCAAAATTCTCTTATTAGAAGCATTGGATACATGAAAGATTCTTATCACTCGTTGGGCTAAGCGGCACCCTCTCGATGAACTGACCGCACTCAAAACCGACATAGGTAAATAAGTAGAGTATACTAAGGCGCTTGAGAAAACCATGTGGAAGGAATTCGACAAAATGATCCCGTAACTTCGGGAGAAGGAGTGCTCTCCTATCTTTTAATTAGAAAAGCGACACATACTAGGAGATGTCGATTGTTTATTGAAAACATAGTACTCTACTAAGTGGTAACACAATGCATTGAGTCTGACACTTGCCTAGTGTTGGAAGGTCGGGTGGAGAAGTGTTATAAGCTTTGTATAGAAGCCTCGGTAAACGACAACAATAACTCTAACTGTGCTAAGATAGAGAAATTCCTTGTCGTATAAGTAGCAACTTGCACGAATGGTGTAACGATTGCCCCGCTGTCTCCGACGAGGACCGAGTGAAATTGAATTCTCCGTAAAGATGTGGACTACTAATGGCTAGATGGTAAGACCCCGTGCACCTTAACTATAGCTTCGCAGTGACAACCTTGATCGAATGTGTATGATAGGTGGGAGGTGGTGACACACAACGACCAATCCTGAAAGACCACTCTTTCGTCTAAGGATGCCTAACGTCGCTCCGAGTTTTCGGGAGGTGAGGAACACTACAAAGTGGGTAGTTTACGTAGGACGGATGCTTCCTAGAGTGTAATCGAGGTGGGCGAATGTATTATTGTTGTGGTGTGCATGTTCCTATCCTCCCTCTCCTAATTGGGAAGGTGTTAGAACAATTTCTTCACGACCTAGAAACCCGATGAAATAGTCAACTAAACGAAAAAGGGATCGGAGGGAATAGGTTCAAGTCACGGTAGCCAACTAATTAGTGATTTAATGTCCTACAAGTTACCTTGTTGTCTCGTGAGAATGATCAAGATGCGTGCAATATGGTCCAGACACTCGTGAATATTAAAAAACAAAATCTTCATGTTGAACAAAGTGTTGTACGTCGAGAAGGTTTTGCTTTAACGACATGTAATCAACTTCTATTGCGCTAGGCCTCTACAACGCAGCATCGTGTCCCATCTTCGAGGCTGCATATAGTTATAGTAATGTTATTTTACCTTTGTCAAATTGGAAGTATACAGTTAGGACAATTACTTCGAAAACAAATGATATGAATCACAAAATTAGAGATTTTTTTAATACCGAACCTTACCCTACACCCCGAACTAGGTTTCGTAAACTCAAAGATTTCCAATTCGAGTCAATCAACCTTCCGTGGAAAATTTAGAATCCTATAATTTTGTAATCTGAATCTGTGCCACCCTTCAATGATAAATGTGATGAGGTCGTGAGAAGTTGCCATGTACTTACGTGTTGTGCATTTAATTTTTAGTTGACCTATTGACTTATATACCATGAGTTCTCGAATCAAAATTGGATTTGTCTTCCTACACAAACTAATGCCTTAACTAAACTAAAAGCATGTGTGAGACTAAGTAGTCGAGTGAAATGGTTCAATTTTTCACAATTAAAATTGATATTTATTAAAAGGAATAATTTTTTAACTCACTTCTTCCTACCCGATAGTTATATGCGCAGTAAACCGTTGTTGTAGCATTTTTGCTTACATTTCCATACAACATCAATTTCAACTGCACAAATCTTGCTTTCAAAACTCTTTGTCCCGTTTTCTATAACTTTCTTCTTGAACTGGAGCCAGAGGCTCGAGCATACATCGTCTGGCCATAGGCAGTGCAATAACGAATAAGCATAACTCACTTGTATATTTAAATTATGCATTATCATTAAAGAGAATAAACAAACATTAATTTTTTTTAGCTTTAAAAAAAAATAGAGATTGCTATTTAATAATTCTTTATATAGAACTATTTTTGAGCATTGTGCTCATTCGTAAGTGGTAACATTAGGACGGTTATGCAATTATTTAATTATTTATTATATATTCCACTCCCACTCTTAAAAGAAAAAATAATAAACCCTCGAGGGCAAATTATTTATTATAAAAATAAAATAGTTAACCCATCATTTAAATAAAATAAAATAAAATAAAATAAAATTGGACGGTTAGATTTGACGTGGAGTGATAGTGGCTGGATCGTACGGCTAAATTGTGATCTTTCTCGCTCTCACATCCCCGATTTCAAGCAAGAAAAGCGATTTTGTCATTTGATTTTGTCTCCCCACACGTTTCACCGAAAAAGCATGCACCCTCGTCCCTCCCACCCGCGCGATTAAATATAGTTCGGAGGGAACTTACAAAGTTGCTACACAAAGAGGCGCGAAACCAATCCCTCGAAAAAAGCTCTCCATATTTAGAAACTTCTCGGTTCTCGCCATGGCCGTTTCTTCTTTCCGTTCTTCTTCTTCTCTCTCTGTCTCTGTTTCTTCGTCTCTCTGCATTTTTCATCGCCAAATGCATGGAGCTTCGTCGATGTCTCTTTCGGATTCTGATGATTCAAGCCGAATCAATCACTGGTGCGTTTTACTCTTTTTAGATTTTTCGAATCAGAAACTCATGATGCAATCGAAAAAAACCCTAGGTTTTTGTGGTTTTTGTTTCTTGATTTGTTATTTTCATCTCTGTTCGTTCGTTTTTTTCTATGTGTTCGCGTTTGTATACGGAGAAATCGTGGTGTAAAAGCTGTATGTATATGTCCGTACGATTTGTTGTTAAGCAGCAACAGATAAGAGAGAGGGAGAGTCGTTATGTTCTGTTTCTTATCGTGTATCTTTCTTCGTTTTTTTTACGACTGTTGTTCTTAGGTTATTTAGTTGTAATCTCTTCTGGAGATGTGATTTAGTTTATTTGATCGTTGTGGATGATCGAGACCTGGCGTGACTTCCTTATATACAGTAGAAAGTGTTTTGCCAGTGTACTGTTGGTGTAATGTGACGGACGTTTGATGTTGAGTGCGAAAATCTGGCGAATGCTTTTAAATTTCATTGGAAGATAATACAGATTTATGACTCTTGTTTAGGTCATAGAAACAAGAACATAATAATTTTCCAATAAAATGCTCGATTAACTTTTAGACTTCAAAGTATTCGAGATCAAGCAGAGATTTATTGTTTTTTCTTGCTTTTTTCCCTATGTTTGGTAACTGTGTAAAACTTGCTTCAATTTGCATATCACAGTTCTGAGCTGTAAACTTGAGATCTCCGTTTGACGATTTCCTCTATTTATCTTTCTATCCATTTGATTGTCTTCATCAGAGCCATCACAATTCTCATTCACGTTTTATGTGTGGATGAAGTTAGTCGTACATATAATTGTTGGTTATAAAGTAGTAATGTGTTCGCTTAAACATACATTAGTCGAAGATCTACAAGTTAACAAATGTTTGGCTACATCTGTCTTGATTGTGGTATTGGTTGTCAGACTTTGGAGGTAGGATGCGAGAATCTTATCTGAAACATAAAATTTGTTTGGAGAATCTTACAACATGCATTATTTTCGTTTAGATAAATCTCAAAATTTTGTCTGCACAGATTGTTTGACTCTGATTGATCAGATTCATTTAACATGGTTAGCTTGTTGTTATATTAACTCATCAAGGAATTATCATAACTGTAACTTTCGTTGAGGAATTGTGGTTATAAATTTGTAGTTTTCTTGATATGCATTGTTGAGCATGCAAAAACATCTTAACATTTACATGGAAGACAAAACTAAAACAACATGCATAGCCACCTGTCTTTTTCCTTGAGGCATAATTGTAACTATGCACAGACACACATTTGATTCATCTGTACTAGGCTCATCTTGGTCATCCATTCTCGTGTCTATAATGGCAAACTTTCCCGTGTATATAGGTCCATATATGTTTTGACACCCATACTTTTTTCCCTTTCAATTCATGCAGAAAAATCATCTGTCCCTCAGCTGTTTCTTCATCTTTGGCTCCTTTATCTCCTTTATGTTGTCAACTAAAGGTAATATTATCGGTTTCTTCAATGTTTATTGCAAACTTGTGACTCTTTTTGCAACTTGGTTTTTTTGGCCTGGTCTCCTTTTGTACGTTTCATTTAGCAATAAAATTGAATTCCTACAGAAAGTATATTTAGGCAAACAACGGTTAGTATTATCCATTTTTTTTTCTTGACTGTTTGTGTTGGAAACTTTGAACGTATATAAAAAAATTGCAATGTCTATGGACTTCAAGACATGTTTTTGTGGACACCTTTTTAGAGTTTTTATTTTTTTTAATGTACAATATGTGCTTCCATCGTATGGTTAGGCTGGTAGGAGCTTTTGTGCGTACCTCATGTCTTAACATTGCATACAATGCATCTATTTTGATGAAAATTTTTACACTGATATTGAACATATATGGAGTAAGTTACAAGTATTAAGTTCGGCCTTTCTTGTTGATGGTGTTCTCAATTTACTCGAAAGCATTCTAGTAATATGAGATTAACTTAATTACCTATATAAAAGAATGTGAGTCAAGATTCTCAAGTATATTGCTCAGATGTATTTTGGTGATATGAGATTAACTGTACTACCTATATAAAAGAATGTAAATCAAGACTCTTCAGTATATTGCCTGAAAGCATTCTAGTGATATGAGATTACTCAAGAGGCTTTGGCTTCTGGTTTGTTTTGTCAGATTTGTTCCAACTCTACCTTGGAAAAGGCCTTAGCATGTGTATTCAGTGTTTATATGCTATAACCATAAGCTTTTTGTTAGCTACTACCTGGTGTGACCGAAATTTTATGTAAACCCCTCCCCCAGCCTGGAACAGACCGAACTCTGACCTTACTCTCAAAATCCTCTTCGACTATTCTGATTTCCATGATCAATCCAGTTAAGGTTGACAGTGTTTATCGTATTTAGATTGTCTTTGAAACATTACTTGAACTTCTTAAATGTCTTTTTGGAAAAGGAGAACTGAAATACTTTAGTTCATATAATAAATGCTAGCTGATTATGCACAGCAATGGACATCACGGTTTCTAATATTAGAAATGTGTGGTATGAGAGGTCGATGAATCTATCAAGCTTGTGTTTTTAATGTAGTAGACTATGCAGATCAAAATTGTAACGAAAAGAATTATGAAATATCTTGTCTAGACTAAACTTTTTCAGTCTTTTTGTTTCTTAAAAGTAAAACTTATGTTTTTTGTTTGGTTCAAAACATATTTGAATAATTATTTTTCAGGACTTGTCTTCCTTTACTCTCAAAGATGAACTGTTCTTTTTTCTTTTTAAGAACCAAAGTAGTTCTGTTAGACAATAGGTATGTAAAACAGTGATTTCATTAGCACGGTTGCATCATGCTTGAAAAGAAAAAAAAATCTGCTGTCATTTGGAGAACACACTTTTGCATTATTCATCTGTAAAATCTTATACCTCAGTTCATCAACTTGCTAATTATAATTTTTGAAATATCCGTGTTTTTTTTAATCATTTGTTATATTGTCCTTTAATATTGCTAATATTCTATTTTATAAGAAACTTAAGTATATTAACAAGTGAGAGGAAAACATCTTAAGGACTTGGGGAAGAGGGAACCCCACCACCCACAAAAGAATTCAAGGGCTTTTCAATTGTTCACAATCACGTTATGTTTGTAGTTACAAAAGAATGCCCTATGATTAAAAATCACTCAGATGAGGTGTACTGTACATTCAACCAATAAATCTCATTAGTAGAAGCTCTATAATCATATGTTTGAAGATTTCTCTCGAGCCAAATGTGCCATAGGAGTGCTGTGTATCTTATATAATAAGTTTGGTATATAAATTTGTCTCTGGTACATGTTGCTATCGGTACTTGAAATTCCTTGGCTTGAAACTAGGAGTTCTGTTCCTGCATTTTGAATCATATATGAATTTTTGATTTACAAATGCCTTTTCTGCTTCCAGTTCACTGTGTCATGATCCAATGACAAAAGTGCAATGTGAGATCTAAGCTTGAAGGATATTGAATAGAATTGAACTTAGTTATGAATGAGCACGGCTTATACTTTTTTTATTGTTCTGCTGACATTTTCTTGGTCTAAATGTGGCTATACATCATTTGTCTGTGTTGTATGTGCTTATATTTTTCTACAATGGACGTAGATACAGAAATCCAGCATTGTTTGTTCAGTTTACTGCTGAACTTAAAGTTCTCATTTGCTATTTGTCACTGCATACCTATTTTTGGTGTTGCTTTTAGTTATCAATTTTTTATTCGAAACTATTGCGGTGGGAATAATTGGTGGCAGCACTCACTTAGCCAGTGCAACTCTGCTTGAGTTCTTCAACTACTTTCATTCTGACCTTTTCCTTTGGATTATTTTTCTCCTTTTTGTTGTCTTGTTTATTGCTCCTTGCTCCTTTCTCGGAAGCTCACTTCTTGCATAACTTTAGCGCTTAAAAATTAGTATTTTGAAGGGACTTTAAATTGAGTCCTCACTTTGGCATAGCTTTCCACACTCGCATCATGGATTTGTGAATTCTCAACTGTTTGAAGCTTCATATCTTGTAAAGTAGCTGACTCCGCAAATAGCTTCCTGGATTTAATGTCAAGTGCGTACTGTATTCGCTCAGGCATGTTATGATCCGTAAGTAACCGAACATGATTTTAGATAAATGTTAGTTTGACAGTGCTATGCATTTATTTACCTATAAGTCGTAGTTTTCTGCTCATTGCTCATTGTGTGAGTTAGTTTGCACATTTACTGTTCTTTTTCTTACTTGCAGTATTTGGCGGTGCTGCACACTGTTTCATTTTTGAGGTACTGACGAATGACTCGACAAGTTTGTTCCATTGCTATTGCTTTTTGTTCATGTATGCATTCAAGCCTTCTCTACAATCTTTTCATGCCAACTATGCTGGATACCTACTCTTATTGACATGGATTCTGCATTCATTCTTCTCTTGGTGATAGATACCAACTTTCAACTTTTGACCATTAAAATACTAAGAGAGTAAGCACAAAAAGGTTAAACCTTACTGGAAGAAAAAATAGATGCAGGCAAGATTTGAAGAATGGGCTCTGTTTCGAGCATTAATTGAGAATGATCATATGAATATCAATAGGGTAGAGACTACATCTCACTTATGGATTCTAAAATTTCAATTTGGTAACTTCTTCCTCGGCCGCTTGGCTAACATGCAGCTATTGCATATCACGTTAGACCAAGAATAATTAAAAATGTAGACCAATAGGTTAGTCGAAAATCTTCTTTAGCAGTCAGCTATCCCTTTCTGTGCTCTCGCTCTTACTTTCTGCCCTTTTGCTTAAAAAGTAGACTATTCTGTGTTTTCGTTCTTCATCTTGGCCAGCTTGCTTGCTGGAAAGTGCAATCTAGCAATCAAAGGTCGAGGTGCCCTTGTTTTCCGATCAAATCCTCTGACACAAACAAAACCTGCAAAATTACTCAAAATTTAGCTTGTCCGCAGAACACAAACAGAAATACATATAGTTGATACCATAAGGTAAGAATCTTACTTGAATGCATAATAACAAAGTTTAGATATTTGATGCTCCCTAATCTTCCCTTGCCATGTTGTCATTATTAAGTGGATCGTCCTCATTTTTTCCTTGGGAAATTTATTCACTCAGATATTTCTCAAGTTTTTCTGACCTTTGCTTTTTTCTACCTCAGTTACGGATGATCAGAACCCTTGGTACATCATGGGAAGGCTTATCAATTTTCAAGGTGATCATCTTCTCACTATGGGTGGTATGAAATCATTTGTCTGTTTCTAAATATTGAAACATACCTTGTTAGCATGGAGATGAGACGACGTTACAGGCAGATACCTCTTTACCGATAGTCTTTTCGCTTCTCTGAAGTCCTTAATCCAACTACAAATTCCTAGTAGGAGATCCTTTTTATTAAGGTACACAGATAAAATGAAAAGCCTAAGTTGTAAGATCCTCCCAATTATATCCGAAAGGTCATAAATCTCTTGGAAAATCCTTTCATTTCCTCTTCCATATCTCCCACAAGATTGCTCTAACTACATTCTTCCTTGGTGAGATGATCATAAAGAGTTCATATAAAGAAATACTCCTTAGTTTGGAAGTAAGTAGTCGAGAGGCTCACTTCTCTTGCAAAAATAAACTTTAACAGTACTAGCTAACTTTTACTATGCCCTTGGAAAAGATATGTTGTCTGTATAGGTGGGTTTAGTAGGGTTGAATAACCAATCAATACACAGAAATACCTATTGGCTCGTTAGACACAGCCACAACACCTAATTGCTCCCTGAAAAATAACTAGCCAGACCATAAGGTTTTTTGGGATGAAATTTTCGAACCCTCGTCTTTTAATCTCTTAAAACTTTTGTGCGTTCTCTTTTGAATCCTTGTAGTTCTCATTCCTTCCCAACCTTTTTTACCTTTCCCTTTTACTTGGCTCCTCCAACATTGGTTTTATTGTGTTTAGTGTTCGGGAAGCTAGGGTTTCAACCAAGGCCAACTTTAGTATAGCTCTTAAGGTTAGAGATTAGTATTTTCCTACCCACAAGCTGAACTTCAGGGAAAAAAAGCCCCTTATAAACCATTTCCGACAACAATTATCAACTAAATCTCAGGTTTTCCACGATGAGTTGGTCAATAGAGGTATGGTAAGATTTATACTTTTCCAATTTTTGGGGCACTTAAACTTTTGATATTTTCCATGCTGAAATATTAAGACATCTGGAAATTCTAAAACAAGGAACAGCCTAGTTGAGGTAATGACCTACTCTGGTTTTCCCTTCCCTCCACAGAAGCCACTCTGTTAATTGAAACACTAACTGACACAGGCTGTATGCTGTATCAAGGAATTATAAAAAGAAGACCTTATTTTTTAAAGCTTTAAAGCTTTATTATTAATATACTTGAGTTTTGAGCCCCTCGAAAAGAATATAAAAATGAAAATAAAGGAGAGAAAAGAAACAAAGCAAAGAAGGAAAATAAAGCCTGAGTACCATTTACGGTAAAGCTGATCTGATTTTGGTTTGTTGTGTTTTTCAATTTAAATTAAGATTTAGATGTTATAAATTGCTTAAGATTGTTTAAGCTTTTTATTTAGACAAAGTTAACTATCTTATTTCGTTATGGTCTATTTTTATACAATATGATATGCATCAAAATATCTTACAAAATATATAAAATTTAGATTTATCTTAAGAAATTTGTTTATTAGTTGAAATGGTCTTATTATATATATATACATGTACACACACACAGAGTAAGATAAAAACTCAGAGAAATTAATTAGATAATTTTTTTTCTAGTTTTCATTTAATTTTATTACATTTTTTGGACCATAAGTATACAGCGGCTGACAATTTAACACCGTTGAAAAAAAAAATTTATTTTTATAATTTGTTTCATGAAATTTATTTACTAAAACATTTTTTATTTATATATTTTTATTGATTACTGATTTTTTAAGCCCATCTAAAATGTTTATCAATTAAATTTGAAGTGATTCAAATTTGTTTTTCAAATTCGAAGTTATTATTTTTGTTTTTCAAATTTGTTTTTAAAGCCAGTTCAATATAAACCTTTTAAGTACAAATAAGTTTATTTTATAATTTTAGGTCCAACCGCTCAGTAAAGATGTATTTGTAGTCTTATTTTATTTTTAATGAAGAAAAAAAAAAGCATTTGAAAAATATTCTTGTTCTTTATAAGATTTTAGATTATTTCTTAGTTTCTCAATTTCAAAAAGAAAAAACATTTAAGCTTATATATTTTTCTTGTATTATAATTTTTGAAATCAACTTAGAAATGACAACCATATATATAAAGCATATCACAAAACTTTAGATGTTTTTCGAAGACTGATACTTTACTTTTTGTGAAAAAGATAATTTCAATTTAATGTATGGAAAATGAAGAGTGCAATGTATTTAAAATATATTTTTTAAATTGGCCGAAATCAACTTACGTGATTGTGTTTGTTAAAATTTTAATAAATTATCTATAAGCAATGTTATTTGTTTCAAATAATACACCATTAAATTAGGTCAAGTAACTTTTATTAAATAATTAACTTAATTCATCAAAATCGTAAAATATTTTTAGTTTGTATTAGGTCTTCATTAAATTATGAACTTAAATTGAGTAATTTATTAAAAAATTATTTTTATTTTTAATATTAGTGCAATTTTACATGTAGAACATTTCTTGATTTATTTTCAATAACATTCCTAGTTCCTCTTTTGAAATGATTTGGTTAAAAATTAATATTTTATTTTTTCTATTTAAGAAAGGCTAAATAGTGGACAAATGCGATCATATCTGACCACTGTGGTAATAAAATTTTGCAAATTTACGTTTTATTTTTGTGTATTTATTTTATCTTATTTGTATGAATTTTATGTTTTAATAGCTGATCAGGTTAAAAATTTAGTCCACCATTACTTGTAGTTAGAACTCAATGCATGAAACTTAGCAAGTTAGAAAAATACATACCTCTCCAAAAGCATAGCTGAATCTCCTCCGTCACTAGCCCTAGAGACAAAAAGAAAAAAAAATTCATATATTTAGTTACTTTTTCTTATTTACTTAAACCCGGCACTCAGCAGTTTGTTCATAATAACAAAAAAAAAAAAAAAGAAAAAAAGAAGAAGATAATCATCACACCCTTGAATCTGTGTATTCTTACCCCTGAATATTGTAGATACTGATGTACCAAAGTAGACGGTTCGTCTGGGTAAGTTCCATAGCCATTTTCTTGGAACATCGATAGGTTTTGAACTGGATTCATGATCTGCAAACATCTGCTAATTTGAACAAGAAGTTAAAATAGAAATTATGCAGTCTCAAGCCATCTTCATGTTGAGAAGTTAATATCGTTATTATAAATTTGTTTGGAATTACAGTTTCAGATGCTTGCTATTAAAATGGTTTGTTGGGATGTTTATTAGAAAACAAAAAAAAAAGAATTTGACTAACGTAATTTATGAATGAAAATAAAAATTCTAATGAAGCTCAATTGGTCAATGAATTTTAAAATAAGTTTATATATATATAGCAGACTAAAATAAAACAATCTGAAATTTTAAGATGGATATTTTGAAAATTTTGAAACTAAAATGGAATAAATTTTTAAAAGTTGAACATTTAAATCAAATGTTGGATTTGAAATTACTTAATTTAAAAGGCGAAATAGAAAATTTTCAAATTAAATCGCTCAAATTCTCGGGGGGTAAAAACAAAATAAGGGCATAATGGTGTTGGGACACGACTTGCCTCATTAACTTGGAAGTATGTTCCATTGAGTGGGAAGCTCCCTCGCATTGCGGTTCTACATGGTATCTGCGATTTTGCAAGGGAGAATTATAGAAATGTTTAGAGAGACGAAAATACTCATAAATAGTAATAAATTAAACTTTATATATATACACATTATAATTTACCAGGATCGTTCCTCTGACTGTTTGAGAATTAGCTTCTCTTCTACAGCTGCATGTGTAGCACGTTGCGTCATTGCAGAGCCTGTTCGGGTCTTGGGACCCACAACTTTGCGGCGGTTGAATCGAGTTCGCTGTTTCACCTGAAGATTTTTGGATATATATAAGATTTTTTACAAAAAAATTATTGTTAATTAAAATAATTCTCTCTCCTTATCTGCTTATAACCATTATTGCCCATCCACGATGATACCAAAATGGAGAAGGGGAAAAAGGAAGCAGGCAGATAAAAGGAAACAGAAAATCATTGCTTTATAGAGCTGATTAGCGAGTACTGCTTACCTGGCGTCCATATCGCAAGAAGATATGGGCTTGGATCATCAGGTTCTCGTCTATCCATCTGTATGTTTAAATAACTTATTGTTATTACAAAATTAAAGGCTGCTGCGTTACTGTGCTTCTATCAAACTTGAGTAGAAATGTTACCTTTTGTAAGAGAGGATGTGAATCGGGAAGTTCATACCTGCATTTAGATAAAAGACGAGTTATCGAAACCGAGATTTCATTGAGAAAAATGAATGAGCATACGAAAAAAACAGTCCTTCCAGTCTAAGAGGATCAAGCCTAATATCTTGGTGTTCTTGAAAATTTCCTTTATTTTCTTTTTTAATGGTGGAATCAGTCAAATTCAACATCAAAACTTCAAACATTGATCAATCAGGATATTCACTTATTTCAATCAAATTCAATGAGATAAATTACTATTTCTAGAGTAAATGTTATGCATGCCAAAAAGAAAATTTGCTTCACTGTGATAGCACAATTGAAGAACGGTCTTAAGATGCAAATTCAACTTGTAATTATAAAAATTGTTAAATCTAATGGATTCTCCCTCTTCCCATAAATCAATTATGCATGCTCTTATTGCCAAAAAAAAAAATTTGCTTTATTGTGATAGCACAATTGAGAAACGGTCTCAACGGTCTCAAGATCCAAATTCAACTCATAATTATAAAAATTGTTAAATCTAATGGATTCTCACCTCTCCCCTTATAATGATTCTATTGTTTCTTACTAAATGGACAAAATTGTTATTATCCTAATGCTAAAATAAAGTTGGTTAGTTTAATTTTTTTTTTTTTTTTTTTAGATTCGGCGTCTACTTGTTTTATATTAAAAATGAAATAGAGGAAGTAGAAAAACAACTTACACTTGATGCTCAGTCCGTAGCCTGCTCACATTCTTCAATTTTGGCATTGGGATACGGGCAGCCTCTGGGTTCAAGGCAACTAAAGCTCTGGACATATCTTCTTCAGGGATGAAATTTTGCAATGTTGTTCTGAATTCTTCCATGCTGAGTTTGATGGTAGGAATTTCATCAGCATCAGGATCCTCATAATATGCATCTTCAATATCACTTTCGGTTATTATCTCATTGGGCTCGGGTTCGGGTGACGCTGGTACTTCAATTATTGGCTCACAGTTGCTGGTGCGCACGGTATTTCCTGTAGAAGTGCTTGCTTCAGGAGCAAGAATTGGCAAAGGTCTCGTGAATAAAGCTGGCTGTTTCTCTGTGGCGACAGGATTGGTTGAAGGCACAATGCGCTTTTCCTCCGGTGCTGGCAGAGCAAGTCGAGCACTGTACTAGATACAGTTCATGCTTTAGTTAAGTGTTCAAAAGTTCAAAAGGTAAGGATGCATATGTTAGAAATCACAACCCTCTACAATAGTATGATATTGTCCACTTTGAGCATAAGCTCATGGCTTTGCTTTGGGCTTCCCCAAAAGGCCTCGTAACAATGGATATGTATTCCTTACTTATAAATTCACGATCATTTCCTAAATTAGTCAACGTGAGATTTTCTCCAACAATTCTGTATTTATGAACATAATCTCTGGAATTGGAACTTTCATGATCAATACTCAATAAGAGATTAAATTGTTGAAAAGCTAGATTCTGATGGTGTCAGTCATAGGCAGGATTGTATACATGCAATTTGAAAGAAATTGACAAACCTTGCAAAAGCACTTGCGAAGTGCTTGCATTCTCCTCTCATTGGACATGCATTGCAATTTGGCTTGCTCTTTGTGCAGAACACCTGATGCCACAATTACGAATCAACACTTCCATAAGGCATATACATTATGTACTTTAAAAAGACAAATTGCATCTACAGTCTATGTCCGTGACGGTAATGATATACCGAAGGACCTAAAGAACAGGATGCTACGAGTCTATGGCCTCACCTTTCCAAATGTAATTAACTGATAGTGTAGTTCATACCTGTACAATAGAGACTTAGTTAGTCATAAGTATAACCTTAATTCAAGTTTGCTTATTTTTTGGTCATCAAACATGAATAATGAATGTATTGAGTGGTTACAGTGTTCGCTGATCAAGTTTGCATAATCTTGGCCACAGGTATTTTTGAATGGTCTCCAGCATTGGATACCTACAAAGAATGGAGGTTAGAAGTTTTGGAATACAGAAAACTGATCACTCATCAGTCCAGTATTACTTACAGTTCTAGAAGGTGTAACTGAAGCGACTCGGGTAACGGTTGGAGAGGGACCCATCCAAGTCGAACAGCTATTCTTCCGACATTTGTATCAACCTATGTAGAAAGCAATTTAAGATGATATTAGAAGTCCCTCTATTAAGCTTCTAGATAAATGATTGATTGTCTGTGAAAAATCATACTGGGAAAGCAAGATGATGAAGCGTTAATAGACGAACGCACTCCACACTTTTCAAACCCAGTCCTCGTATACTCAGTAGATAATCCCTGCAGCAGGTATATGGTTTTATATTAATTATATAAATAGATCTGGTAAAGAAGCTAGGTTTGATAAAAAAAAAAATTATATGCCATACTTTGCTTTGTCTGGAGGAACATCTCTTAACCATTCGAGATCAATGCTCCCATGATCTTTCATCAGGCGATTCAAAAATTCCTGCAACATTATTTTACAATGCAAAGAGGAGTTGTTACTGCTTAGTTTAGTAATTGATCTAAGTAAAAAATAGGCATTTAAAGATTTCAACTGCTTGTACGTACCTTCATTCGGTCAGCTAGCATGTTGTTCATTCCTCGTTCCTTAATAGAACTAGAAATTTCATGAATGCTGGCTAGTCTGATTGCTTCATAGTCTATTGAATCCATGGCATCCTTGCTTCTTTCTTTTAGTTGTCCATTGGCTTCCACCTGCTTTCTCAAACTATCCCAATCAAATGTACTATTTTTCTCACTATTGACCTTTCTTCTTTTTGGTTTTGAAGTGCTAACATCTCCCCCATTATTTGCCTTAGATAGAGAATGGACCTCATTATTTGAAAAGTTTATTTGATTTCCCTTTCCAGGAGTTCTATCCACCGCATCAAGCAATTTTTCTGCGTGTGCAGGCACATGTACGGCATTTGAGAGGCCATTTTTCTGCATTTTGGCTGATGCATCTAATTCTTGGTGAGGATTGGTAACTGATGCACTTCCTAATGGGGAAGTCTTGATCCTCTTACATGGTTCATAATTCTCATGAAGTTTATACTCACAATGAGGCCCTGATTGAATAGCATTACCCTGTAGGTGCACAGAGTGCTCACCGACAGATTCGCTATGCTCCATTGTGGTTTTTTGAGATCTTGCTTGTCCAATCTCTTCAGCGCAAGTTTTATCCAAAGTTCGCTTGAGACCCCTAATGTTTAAGCTATGACAAGTCATATTCTTTTCTGTGGAGCATCCAGATACAATTGATGGCCCAGAAGATGTGCTCTCTTCACTGAATGCTTCACGGCCTTCAACCTCCAATACCCCACAGTCTGGGGTCAAGTGCAACTGATTGTTTGAAGGAGCAACTGGTTCTTGCTTGTGCTGGTTTTCGATATTAACAAGGAAATTAGTCAAGGAATGACCGTTGAGATTATCAATCTCATTCCATTCTGATATTAGTGACTCCTGTTTTCCATCTGTAGTTCTATTCAAGTCACTGAAGGAAATCTGTTTGATGGTAGTCGTCTCCACTTGTTTGATATCTGTGAAATTTGAACAATGAGTGCTGCTAGAGTAGTAACTTACAATGGGTTCTTCAGCCTCTGAGTTGGATCCAGAGCATGATCTAGCCCCTCCAGTACCCTGTGTGATTGTCGAGTCAAAGGAATCTTGTGAGGATATGACTTCATCCTCCACAACTTGACTACCTTCCTCTGTGAAAAAATTTGCAGTCCCTGAGTTCACTCCTTGATTTTGATGGTTTATTGACGTCTGGGGCATCTCAAACCTTGGCTGGGGTAGTAATCGAGCTTCCCATTTTATAGAATTTGCTGAATATAGTATACAAGCTGCTGACTCGTTGGCCACTATGCTCGTTTGAACTTGAACCTGAGTTCTAACGTTCCTGGTAGATTTTATAGGAAAACGTGCGGCTAGAGACATGAAGGCAGAGCTGTAAAGAACGAATAGAAAAATGTTATCCACTCGTTCATTATTTTGCTTCAATGATAATCTTGATCTAGAGTTCTAACCGAAATCATAAGCCTACCTTGAAAGATGATCTGAAACATTCTGGGTAAGGAAAACCCCTATAACTGAGTCAACAACTGATCCTTTCCATCGTGAAAACGTTCTGTCTCCTGCGAAGAGAAAAAGAGAATTTCGGTATACATATAACTGAGTCAACAACTGATCCTTTCCCCTATAATTGAACTGATATAATTTTTTTTTGTTGCCATACTTGGAACTCAACTGAATGAATCGGTTAAATTCTTTGCCTGTTACACTTTTTCTATCATTTCGAAACGCTTACTTCCCGCCATATTTAATTATACAAGAGCATTACAAGTTTGTAATAAAAAAAAGTGAATTAAAAGTATGATTAAAATATATATCAAACGAGTTCTAGTAAATTCATTTTTTTTAAAGAGATTTAATTCCTGTTAATTTTTTAATTAAATAAAACTTTAATTGTAAATTATGTAAATTTATGAAGAAAAAAAAACGTGCAAATAATGAAATATTTAAATTTACACTTTTCTTATTCCAGCTGGGTGGGTTCTTTTATATTTTGGTTGTCAAAATATTTAAAAGACACAAACTGAACCAAAGTGATTAAAAATCAAGAAAAAAAAAAAAAAACTGAACCGTTTTGGTTTTGTCCTGTTTAATTTGATCTGTGCATTCTGTTTAAAGAAATAAAAGAAAAAAAAAAAAAAAAAAAAAAAAAAAAAAAAAAAAGGAACTTTTGAAATATGGATTTGAGAATTGTTTAAGTAAATATTTTGTAAACGGATTTTGAAATGTTCATTTTAGTTTTCTTTTAAATCTGACATTTAAATCAAATAGAAATTTCCTCAGTTAGATATAAGAAATAAACCTTGCACTAGATGCATCCTCGCAATGAATGAATCAGCACGACCACGAAAAACTTTCCGTTCCTCTTCCCACCATTTCTCCTTGCCTTTCTCATGATTTTCAATGCCTTCGCTTCCTTCCTTCCCCATTAATAAATTCCATATTCTCTCCGTCTCCGGGTCAAGGTCAACTTTTGGTCGTGTCTTTCGTTTTCTTAAATGTTCAGACTCCACATATTGAACTACTGCACCATTTCCTTTGTATGGAACAATAGCATTTTGATCTGTCCTCGTGGTTCCTTTATCGTCGTTAAGCTTGAGACCCTTCATTTTGCGTATGATCTCATTTTCTAGTACACCTACATCAATATCAAGAGGTTATAGTTAGTACTTCACAGCAAGATCTAGTTTCTCATTTAAAGAATTTAAGTATACTTGCCTGTTTTTCTATCAGGAACTTGGTGGAAGCTAAACGAGTACCCTTGTTTTTGTACTTGATTTGTTGCTAGCGAACCTGATATCATGGGTTGACAAGCCTGTGCATACCGTTGATCTGAGGCTTTCGGGTGCGGAAATGGATGGGGCACATTATATTTGTCACCAGTAATCAATGAGCGATAGCTAGTAACCTTATTCGACCCAGTTGTGCCACATGTCCTATCGAATTCTGGATGCAGATTTTGTGAGAATTGTCGCCTCTGAAAATTGTTCTCATGGACAATTGAGGGAATAGGCCTTTCACCGATGATTTCTTTAGTCCAGTTAATTTGTCTATTGGTGCTTTGTTCACTTCTAATATGACCATTTAGCATGGCTTGCCTCATTTCTGCAGTAAATCCACCAGAATTGATAGGATTGCGACCACTTGTATTGAGGTGGCTTGAGCAACCCTCATTTGCTTGGATAGTAGAATATCTTTTGTAGAGGGTTGCATAGAGTCCAGATTCAAATTTCTTCGCAGGAATTTCCAAGGATCCTATGTTTACACTGCTGCTTTGTCTAAAGAACTCACCCGTTTGTGACACCCCTTGACTCAACACTGAAGAGTCCAGTGTAGCTATCGAGCACGACTGTGTTGGCTGAGTTGCAGGCGGACGGCCTCTCTTTAAGCCCCTTGGTTCATTGATATTGGAATGATGATTTGGAACTGTTTGAGAATATTCAGAGTTCATCCCCATCAGCTCCATATAATAATTATGGTTTTGTTGCTGAACAGGAGTGAATCCACTGCTGAATCCATTTTGATATCGATCTGCTTTTCCTTGGTCTAAAATTCTACGAACATTGATCAAATCTCCTGCTGTGTTGCTTGCTAATTTGTTCAATAGGCCTCCAGCTGCCTCCCTTTCGGATTGTGATGTGAGAGGGGTCGTCATGTGACTCATGTGAGAAAGGTTACTCTGTGTTGTTGGTCGCACATTCTCAGCCATTGTGCCCAGTCGCTGACTGATATGAACACCTGGAATTGTTCCACCAACACCATTAGTTTGGGAGCTGAAATCTGGAACATTTGGTCTCGTGGTGAAGCAAAGGTTCCCCATGTTCTCCTCTTGCATATGTTTCTCATCTGGTTTCTTTTCGAGTTCCTCATCTCCAGTTTTTTCCATCTCAAAGTGTATTACTCTCCGGCAAGATTTTGTTTTAGTTGCGGTGCTCGAATCTTTAATCTCCACAATATTCGCAGGTGGAGTAGCTGCTTCTTTGTTGATGTTCTTCTTCCTTACATACTTTCTCTTCCCTGTTGGGGTTTCCTTGGGAATCTTCGGTGTCACAGGTTTAGGAGACTTCTTGGGTTTTTCTTCCTTTATAACCTTGGGCCTATGTTTTCTCCGCTTAGGCGTCTTCAACTCTGGGGCCTTGTTAAGATCAACTGCTTGAGCGCTGCCCTTCTCCACTTCCTTCGCTGGGGTTGGTTCAGAAACGGATGCAGATAATGTATCTGTGAGATCCTTCAAGAGTTCATCATGACGTTTCTGAGTTGCTTCATCAAGTGGAACTGTGACAAAATTCTCCTGTGTTTCCTCGTAAAGTCTTAAACTTTCATCCAATGGAAGATTAAGTAAATCAGTAAACTTTTCTGTGTATACCATTGGCGTATGCTGTCTTCTTTTTGCTGGTCTCTGATCTGGTGTCCTGTTGAGATCGATCCCAAGATCTCTATGATTCCCAAAGTCCCTCACTCCCTTAAATGGAGTAGAATTTCCAACACATGATGATTCCACAATGCTTTGTAGAAGTTCGTCACAGTGTTGACGGGGTGTTTCATCTTGAAGCATTCTGATGAAATCGTCCCCACCGTCCTTTCTGAAACTTGAGCTTTCATTTCTTACAAGAAAAGATGGTGTGGGGACATAATCAAATGCAGCATTTTCCAGATGCGAGGAGAACGGTGCAGGATGGACTGAGTTGTTAAACGTTGACATTGAGTTGGTTTGTGTCGTTGATGCTGGGTTCAAGTTATAACTGGATTGATACATGGGGAGTCCATCTGTAAAATTCACAGACCACAATTTCATCACTCATCAAAATTAGTATTGAAATAAGAAGCAACGGGAAAGAAAATCTATTCATGATAATAGTAAAAGGCAAAAGAACAGTTCGCTCTGTTCTAACCGCACGGCACCGTACAGATAATAGTTGCACTACCCAATGCAATTTCAGCTAACTACAGTAAACTTTCATTTGGTTACGGATAATGATGAGAATAAGTCCGTCTAAAGTAACGATTAAGATCAATATTTTCTTTTCTTAAGGTTTTATGATTTTAAAGCATCAATTAGTAATTTACTGAATATGCATATTATTTGCAATAACTACGAAGAAACTGATCGTGTAAAACAATTGCTAGATAATTCGTGGACTTACATGGGCGATGTTGGGCGTAGCTATTGTTACTAGATGGTTTCGATTCTGGATAAAGATTTTGATTTCTAACCAATAAATTTCCTGCATAGAATTCCCCACTGCTGTTAGCTTGAGAATTCATGTTCAAAGCTGTCAAACGCATGCAACGAACATCAAGGCAATTCTCCTAACTGCTTGGCGCCAAGCTGTTAAAACAAAGCACAATTTCAGGCATAACGTCAATAAAAAGCAAATTATAGATCTTGTTTGGAATGAAATGATGGCGATAAAACACATTCTGAAGAAACCATAACTTAAACGTAATCTTAGTTCAGGAGTCGACGGTTAAATTCAAACTTGCGGTGGCAGATCATATTTTCACCATTTTCATATAGAAATACATTATCATATTGTAGATAAAAAGATGGAAGTAACTCGTTTTATACTAAAATCAGTTTTTATAATTTAGGCCAAATCCATTGAGAAAAGAAAAGGAAAGAACGAAAAAAGAGGCAGCAGCAGCTCAACAACGTTTAATCTTCCAGACAGTTCACTACTGCAGTTATTCTTACCAGAGAGAGAATATAAATTATACTGATAGATTCATATCGCAGATTCGTCCAAAGCTTTGGCACGTTAAATCTACACAAAAAAGAACATAAAATTTTGAACCGATTTGTTTAAAATTGGAAGAGAAGGCAAATTCTACGGTTAATCTTGACTTAAACAAGCTAGCATTCAAGAATAGTCGGCATTAATACCTTTAAACGCACCTCGAATAAAGTCATTGATGAGATAAATTCAAAACAAATTGGAAATGAAATAATAGTATCAACAATCCTCTAGATACAGAGAACAATAACAGAACAATTTTCACGCACATTTGAGGCCGAGTAGAAGATTAGAACTCCATAAATTATTCATTTCAGTGTTCAACATGTTAGAAAGCACCGAAGAACCAAGACTTTATACTCAGAATCAACAGAGCAATTCATTAGAGATACGCACCTTAAAATTTGTCTAGTTATCAATTTCAGCTTCAATTCCTTCCAATTGTACAATTATTTTCTATACAGAATCAAATTTACAGGACTAATCCCCTGAAAAACGTCAAACTGAGCTCTGGATCAACCTCCTCCAAAGCATTTACTTCGATTATTTCAAAAGGAATCGAAATCGTAAATGACATAACAAAACTAGTTCCATAAAATATCAAGTTCTTTTAAGTTCATATCAATGGCTCAAAATCTTCAATAAGAGAAAGAAGAAGAAAATGAATAGAACACCGAAGAATTACAGAAATTAGCAGAGCTTCGACAGAATCATCCAAACAAATAACAGAAACATACAATTTGAAATAATGAGGCCTCAATTTGAGCCCTAATTCTGATATTCTTGCGTCCATAAGCACAGAAGATGAGAGAGAGTCAGTCAAAGATGAATTCGAATTACCTCTTTCACCAATATCCTCACCGATCCAATGCTTGTTATTCTGTAATTACCTCCCATCAGCTACTCCGTACTCTGGTAGAGTTTCTTGGTGGATCAAATGCCAAATGCTGATGGAAAGAGGAAGGGGGGAGAGAGAGTTACGTTGGTAGCTTGAGTTTCCAGGAGAGAGATAGAGAGAGAAGAAAGAGAGATGGTCCAGGGACGTTTAATTAAAAGTAAGAAAAAAAAAATACTTCACTTCTGATTCGGTCATTGGAGTCAGCGTTAGCGGCTTTTTCTTGGTTCTGATGCTGAACCGGTTCTCTCTCGGTTCGATCCGGTTCGTTCCGGTCCACTCTAATATACACAAACTCTATTAAGATTAAATTTTAATTTATTGTTTTTTTTTTTTTTTTTTTTTTTTTATAAACTAAGCTTTAAAAATATCTTTTAATTTTATATTTAATAATTTTTATATATTAAATTAGATAGAATAAAATTTCAGAATTTTTTTTAAATGTTAAGAATTATTAAACAAAAATTAAAAAATTCACTATATTATATTATATATATATATATATAATTGAAATTTTAAAAAAATATTAGACACAAAATTAAAATTTTATAAATTATTATATATTTTAAAATTTTATAATATTGCAATGAAAATTCACTTACTCTTATTTAAACGAGTGAATCGAAAAATTCGTTTTTATTAAATTTGGAATAATTATTATTAGCCTACCATATACTTCGTGCATTATTTGAATTTATAGAAAAATATTTGAAAATGGTAAAAATTACACCTTGGTGATAAGAGTACAACCCTTGTAGGGAATACAACTAATGAATAAAAATACTTGTCAAAAGAGGTAAAGGATTATTCCTCTCTTTATAACTATTTTTTCATGTAGGGTTAGGATGAAATTTTTTTAAAGTCAACCTCAACATCATTTAGTTAAAGACATATACCGAATAAAATTTAAATTTCTTATTGAACTCAAAGAAATTAAAATCTAACGAAATTGACCGAACCTAGTTTAATTTTCTTCGAGATAAGGTTTCGTTAAAATAGTTTTTGGCTTTTAGTTTTGTTTCTTTCAATCGGTCAACCGTGAGATCCCACATTGGTTGGAGATGACAACAAAAAATTCATTATAAGAATGTGGAAACCTCCTCTAACATACATGGGTTTTAAAAATATTGAAGAGAAGCCCAGAAAAGAAAGACCAAAGATGGCAATATTTGTTAGTTGTAGATGAACTTAGATTGTTACAAATGATATCAGAGCCAGACACTGAGTTAGTTGTGGATGAGCTTAGATTGTTACAAATGATATCAGAGCCAGACAGGCTTAGATTGTTACAAATGATATCAGAGCCAGACACTGGGTTAGTTATGGATGGACTTAAATTGTTACAAATAATATCAGAACCAGACACTGGTCGTATGCCAGCGAGGTTTCGTAACTTAATTATTTCGTTACTTAATTTTGACTATCTCATTGACTCCGGTAGTCTCTTTGAACGATTTGATTATAAAAGGATTGATTTTAACTAATTTAATTTGACACAAATTCAATGGACCAGAATCTAAATACACTTTATATTCAGAAAATAGTCAAAGGTGTATACATCTAAATTCGGTCATAAATTCAATTTCTCATTCGGTTATTTATCGAGTAAAAATTAAATACTTTCGATTTTAAATATAAGAAAGTATATACCTCTAAATTCGATCATAAATTCAATTTCTCGTTATCTTATTTATCGGCAATATTTAATATGATTCATAAAAGTCCAATACTTTCAATTTTACATATATTAGAAAATGTATATCTCTAAATTCGGTCATAAATTCAATTTCTCATTCGGTTATTTATCGAATAAAATTTAAATATAATTTATAAAAATCAAATAGTTTCGATTTTAAATATATTAGAAAATTTTAACAGACTAATAATAATTAACGGTAAAGTTTTTTTAAAATAAAAAAAACGAAAAAAATTATTAAATAATAATAAAATGGAGCGGGAAAGGACCAAAGGGTTATGAAAGTGTTAATAATAATAATAATAATTTGAAAGGCAATAATAAATTAAAAAAATAAGCTTAGGTTTATGAACGCGTTCAGCGTATTAGAATGGTCCTCTGATAAAAATGGAAATTAAGGAGTTTAACATGATTTACACATGCTTTGGTCCCAATACGTTGAACATATTGGGTGGGTATTCGGTGCGGACAAAACCATAGTTACATCGTCGCTAGCTCTCCAATTAAGTGATGTTTTTTTTTTTTTTTTTTTTTTTTTGGAAAATGGAAACAAATAAAATTATCTTGAAAATTTTAAAAATAAAAATCTCGTTAGTGACACTGTTTTGCGATCGGCTAATGTGTCAGTTCAGTCGAAATTCAGAAGACCTTATTCGTAATTGATTTTAAGTTATGATATTTTTTAACTTTACTGACGATGTTTCAAATTACTTTCACGTTATCATATTCATTAGTTAATGGACAGTGCTCGTTATTGAGATTAATTAATCCTACTGTAAGATCTTACATCGATTAGAGAAGAGAACAAAACATTTCTTATAATGATGTGAAAACTTCTCTTCTTAATAGACGTGTTTTAGAACCATGAGATTAACAATGATATGTAATGAGCTAAAACGGACAATATCTACTAACAGTGTGTTTGGGATATTACAAATGGTTTTAGAGTCAAACATTGAGCGGTGTGGCCCAACGAGGGCATGAATTGTGAGATCCCTCATCAATTGAAGAGGAAAACGAAATGTTCCTTATAAAAATGTGAAAACCTCTCTTTAATAGACACGTTTTTAAATTGTGAGGTTGACGACGATACGTAACGGGTCACCATTACACCTACCTTACTGCTCGATTCCTTTCTATGCCACATTGCAAGAAAGAGTTCGCCACGACTCGGGATCATTCCCATCAAAGCTCAAAATGTTGCATTGTCAGATTCCTTCAAGGCATATTATTACGAGAGCATCGATCTATAAATCCTATGAATTTCTATATAAAAACCTTGAAAGGATTCTTTCAGTGCTTGCAACGGAGCTAACTTCCTAAGAAACACGTGTGGAATACGAATTCCTAGAGTGATGCATTTCTTATATCACATGCCTTATTGATTGATTCATCGAACTATATATGTCACATCCTATTGCCAAACATATAATTATTCCTATTATCAAATACTAAAATATGTATTTACAATATTTTATCGATTTATTTCAGAACATTTTGTCAGAGAAAATTTTAAATTTGCAACAATATCTAACATTTGACCTAATTATGTGGCTTCGTTTTAACGACTAGTTGTGTACGTACATTTATCTTCGTCAAAATTAAATGACCAAAAAAAGTAATGTTTTGTTTTTCATTTGATGATGTCGTGGAAAAGTGAACGACGACAACGACTTATGTTGCAATCTATTCAAAATTAATAAACTAAAATAAAATAAAAAATTAAAATTTTGTAGACTAAAGTAATAAATAGATATTATTAAATAAAACTTCAATTTCACTCCAATTTATTTGGTAAAAAAATATTTTATTTATGTGAATATTCAAAAGTAAAAGTTATAAATTTGGTGAATAATAATTAAAGAAAAAAATTGTGATCGTCATTTATTGTTCTCTAAATACATTAAAAAAATGACATTAACTGAGATGGCAACAGGATAAGATAATTTTTTCCATCAAAAAGTAAGTTTTTGATTGACATTATTCTGTTTAAAAGTGACATAGGCTTTTTTCAATCTTTTTGACTAATTTATAAAAAATATTTTTCTTTATTTAGAAAAATAATTAATATTGACATTTAATTGTATTGGATTAAATTTCAGAAAATATATTAATAAATAAAAAAGGCCTTAAAAATGAATTTTTAAAATAAATACTTAATAGATGAATAATCTTGATTTTACCGTGGATAATTAAAAATACTACAACTATGAAAAAAAAAATAATAAATTTATAAATAATAGAATCATTTCAAAGAAAAAATATTCAAAATAATCTTAATAACATTTTTAATTTAACAGACTTTAAATTTAAATATTTAAAAGTTTTGAAATAAATAAAAATCGTATTAAAAAAAATATAAAAATTAAATTTGAATGCTTTAAAATATATAGACTATAAAAAAAATTATATTTGAATTATTTTTTTTTAAAGGTAGACTATATATATGTAACAAATATTTTATGAGATTCCACTTCGATTGAAGAGGAAAACGCTAATATTTTTGTAAAGGTGTGTAAATCGCTCCCTAGTAGAAGTGTTTTAGAACTGTAAGCCTGACAGCAATATGTAATGGATCAAAGTGAACAATATCTACTAACGGTGAACTTGGACGGTTACAAATGATATTAGAGCTAGACATCGGGCGCTGTGCCAGTGAAGACGCTAGTCCCCATTAAGGATGGATTGTAAAATTTCACATTAGTTGGAGAGGGGAACGAATCATTTCTTATAAGGATGTGAAAACCTCTTTTTAATAGAGGGATTTTAAAATTATGAGGCTAAAAATGATACATAATGAGTCAATATGGATTCACCTTCAACCGCTTCTTTTATTTTTTTTTTTTTATTTTTTTTTTATTAGAAAATAAATGGCTTCCTAATTAGACGGCAGAAATTTAATTTTGAAAGAACCATTAAGCTGTGCGTTTCATATAATATTGAGATATTTGCTTTTGCTTTTTATTATTATTATTATTATTATTATTTTGCAATTTTCTTTTTTTGGTAATTTAATTGTATAATTAAAAAGTATTACCAAATCCGAATATCACGTTAATAAAGCAGTGACAAGGATTGGCCAAATCTGCTTTTTAACTCGGATGGCTTACAAGCTTTGAATGTACCTTAAAGGAGAGCGGCCTAAATTATTCCTATTACTTTCTCTCTCTCTTTTTTTTTTTTAATCTTTTTATTTATTTTTTTAAACTTTGCCTCTTCTTTTTAATTGAATTTTGATTCACATTATTTAAATTATTCTTTTAATAACCCTTTTACCATTTTTTTAATATAATTTTTAGTATCTAATTTTGTTATTTTAAAAAAATTATAATTTTTATATCGAGTATACTTACCATTTTAAAATTTTGTTTTTTTTCGTCATGCAAACAGACCCTTATAAAGACGTTGAATATCCTTTATGATTTTTGTAACCGTTAAAAAG